CCATGCATCATTCATCTTTGTCTGGAATAGTCTTGTTTCAGTATTAGGGTTTTGACGTCACATCATCGCCTCGTTTTCAGAGGTCCGAAAATTCGGGGATTTCAATATTTTTTTATAAAACGTAGGGAGCTCACAGCAAGAAACGGTTGGCGGTGGTGAGCTAGTTTGGGTGAGTTCTATCGAATTATGAAATAAAAATTTTTTGATTGAGTTACCCTTCAATACAGTAAGGACATAAAAAGTCCTCTCCCTCTAACTTATGAACGGAACGAACTATCGTTCACGTCCTTGCTGTATAAGAGATAATCTGTTTTAACTATTGTGTTTTAATGCTAAGCAATGTGCCATCTGACGGCATATATCACGTGATCATCAAGTGTGGTTATTTGGTAGTAGTATTGAAGGTTATAATAATTGTTCATTCAATTATGACTGATTATTATGATTATTTGTTTATACAACCGAATATGGTAAAACTTAAGTCGTTCTGGCAAAATTAATATTTTGACATATCACATTTGGTGTCAAAAACATATCATTTTTGACAGAATGACATCGCGGGAAAATGAAGGTTAAAATCCCAATTGAGGAATAATATGTAGAACTTCGGGTAACTTCTGCAATGTAAGTTTGGTTTATTTCTCCTGAAGAAGCTACTGTGTGCCTTGCTGTGTGATTAATAAGTATTTTTTCACCAACAATACAAACCTACTATTCTTTGGCTTAGACGTATTCAAATTTATAATCAGTGGCGCCAGAAAATGTATTTATAGAGCGTGCCCAAATATCACCCAAGATATTATGAATCTATGTGATTAACTGAAGATCAATATTAATAGGTGTTTATAATAAAAAATGTGTTATAATTTTTTCAGTAGATTAGGAATGTTTCAGTAGATCTCAATGATTCAATGATATTTTTGTTTAGGATCGAGCTCTATTCGAGATATTTCAATGCATAAATAACAAAACCGTAACCTGTCAGAATGAAGCCAACTACCTTCTGCATTCCTGCTCCGAGTGCATTTGTGGTTATGTATGTTTTTGTTAACCAGTTTTAATTCTTCTTCTATTTTTTTCAATCGTTTTTCATTCGTTAGCTATTCGCTAGCTATATATTCTTCACCATCAGATATTTTCAGACTAGATTCAGAATGTACGTCACAATTTGCCGCCCCGAAAATAGAAATTGCTTTAATTTGAAAACGTAAACGACTTGGACTTCATCGGTCGCCATTCAGTACAGCGTGGACATAAAACTGGAGAGTTCCGAACTTATTTTATGAAAATTTATCTGAAGGAAACTTCCGTTGTGTCGTACATATTTTCTCGTCGCGTCGTATTGCCGAAAATAGAAAGTCGGAAAAGCGGGTTTCCTCGGTCAAGGTCGATATCTACAACATCCACATTATCGATTTGGAATGTCTGTGTCCCAAGAGATTTGGCTGCGTACGTTTTGAGTGGGTGGAATAGGTAAATCTTGTGGAGTTTCCATTGACAAAATGTAATTGAAGATTGAATAAAATTATAATAAACGATAAAGACTTTTCTTGTTTTGAACTGTTGAACTAGAACATAATATATTTACATGTATATACAGGGTGTTCCATTTGAAGGAAGAAAGTTGTTGGCATTTCCAGATAACCGGATTCCGTCATATTGGATTGTAATGTCATTAAATCTGTACCAAATTTCAGAAAAATCTTTTAAAAAGGGGTGGCCCGATACCCTGTGTCTTCCGGTATACGAGTTTTTGGGCACCATAATAGTGGGTACTTATTCTGAGTGTATCTCAAAAGTGGTTCACCCTCATATCATTTTTGTTTTTATTGATATTCGGTGAAAAGTATTGTGCCCGGTTTTCTACATGATTATATATTTTTTGACGTCAATCGAGCACCCAATATTATATATTTACTTATTTCAATAGATGATTAATGATGATGATATGGAATTTTTAATTCCTAATTTTTCAATCTAGAGTGCCATGAATTCTTAAAGAATAAGATAGTTACAAGAAGTATAATGACTTTTCATATACGTGGATGCTCGGGTAGATGACTATGTGTAAGTATATCTTGTTGGTATATACATTTACAAGAAGCAATAAGAAACAATAACGAAGAACCGAAGGTTCGTTGTTTTTTGTTAATGTTAAAACAATCTGCTCGCTTGTCGATTATATCGACTCGCTGTAATACAGTTTTTTTTCGCTCATGATTCATCACTTTAATAATAATCATGATGGCCTAGTTTTTATATAGCTACCTTGCATAACAACTTTTTTGCACGGAAATTGCAACTATGTACACTTCAATTTAGTACAATACGGTATACTTAATACATATAATATGTGCTTACATTCTGAAGTTTTTAAAATATTCTTTATGATCACTTTCATGGCCAATGATATCACGTACTTTCAATCAAAATTGTTAGATGAAAACACCATTGCACCTAATATTAGCAATATCTTATCAAGGCATCAAATTGGCCCAAATTGTATCATCATTTTGAAGTCGAAAATCGGTGATACTTCTACAGTATTTTCCAGAAGTAATTTCTGAATTCAATTGACATTGAGTGGTTAGTTTTTGATGATATACAGGGTGTTTCATAGGTAAAGGGAAATATTTCAATGGTACATAGGGGTCACCAAGGTGGTTCTGAAAATACCATATTTGATAGGTCTTAGAGTCTTCATGGAGATACAGGGCGATTTATCGATTTCGAATAATTATTCATTCCTCTATGAGTATTGAACTATCCAGTATATTTTTCTAAAATTTGGTATGGAGCTTAAACTTGGGACGTTGTATTCATTCACCTATCGGGTGAAATTAAAATCCAGGATCGACTTCAGGAAAAATTTACATTCATTCTAAATATTAAAATAACACTGTATGTGATAATTGACAGAGTTCATCAAAGGAATCGTGAAGAGGAAGAAAAACTGAACTGGATTTGATGCTTTTTGTTTTCCCGCCACCAATTCTCATCATAACAATCATAAACAGAAAGCTAAAAGAATGTCAATTTGAAGAGTATTGAAATTATGAAACCACTTTCAATTATGATTATTTGATATATTCGTGTTAAATGATTGTTCGAAAGAACTTACTCAGTCTCACAGTCTTTATAACAGAGATACAGGGTGAATTATCGGTTTCGAATAATTATTCACTCGTCCATAAGTATTAAACTACCCATCGCAGTAATATTTTCTCAAATTTGGTATTGAGCTTACTTGGGACGATGGATTCATTGACCTATCAGGCAGAATGGTGATACAGGTTCAGCTTCAGGAAAAGTCTCATAGTCTTTATAACAGAGATACAGGGTGAATTATCGAATTATAATTATTTGGTATTATTTCCATTCCGACTGATAGATTAATGAATCCATCGTCCCAAGTAAGCTACATACCTACCAAATTTGAGAAAATGTTACTCGGTAGTTTAACACTTATGGAGACTGTGAGACTTAGTGAGTTCTTCCGAGCGATTTTTTGACTGAAATATCAAATAATCATAATTGACACTGGTTTCATAATTCCAATACTCTTCAAATTGAAATACTTTCAACTTTCTGTTTATGATTGTTACGATGAGAATTGGTGGCGGGAAAACAAAAAGCATCATACACTATTCAGTTTTTCCTCCTCTTCACAATTCTTTTGATGTACTGTGTTAATTATTGAATACAGTGTGTTATTTTAATATTTCTAATAAATGTAAATTTTTCCCTAAGCCGAACCTGGATTTTCACTCCCGATAGGTGAATTAATTCAACGTCCCAAGTATAAGCTCCTCACCAAATTTGAGAAAAATATACTGGCTAGGTCAATAGATATAGACGAATGAATAATTATTTGAAATCGATAAATCGCCCTGTATCTCCGTTATGAAGACTCTAAGACCTATCAAATATGGTATTCTCAGAACCACCTTGGTGACCCCTATCTACCATTGAAATATTTCCCTTTACCTATGAAACACCCTGTATAGGGTGGGTCACGGCCGATAGTGCCCCTTAGACGTTCACGAAGAACGGGACAGAGGATCATTCTGAAAATTTTGTTACTCGAGAGTTACTCTTACACGAAAGGGAATCCCTATAATGTTCGAAGAACATTGTTAATTTCGATTTTCCCCCCGAATGTTCAGCTTCTTGTGTGTAAATCGCAGGGTTGGCAAATATCATGATATTTATATATATATCAAAATATCATAATATCGGATATATATCCGATATATATCAGACGGATATATATCCGATATATATCAGAAATTTCGATTTTGTTCCTAGGCTGATATGCCAAAAAAAACACAATATAAAATACCTTTATTTTGGTAAAAACAAAAATCAAACTTCAGTTTAATTCTCGGTTTAATTTGAAATAACAAAACACGAAACAAAACCGAGAAAGAGGAATATAATCATCATTATCAATATTATCATCTTCACTCAAGGCAACTAATTCATCATTCGACGAGATCCAGTTCAAGCTTTTGGCTTCTTTATCTGTATTTGGGTTTAAACATTTAAAAATAAATACTAGCTTACTGGCTTTTTCGTTGCCTAGACGATTTCTCAATTTAGATTGAACTATTCCAAAACTCGAAAAAATTCTTTCTAAACCAGCTGTTGCTGCTACTGCACTGAATACCTGCTCACATAGTTGTAAGAAGAGTTCTTTTTTTGGCCATTCGGAGTCAGGAATTGCAACCGATTTCCACCAACTCATTGTATGCATGGTACCATGTACCTAACAAGCAGTAAACAAAAACCGGGGATTCTCCGAGTTGTAAGTTATAACCACGAAACGCATTGTTGTCACGTATTCATTTTTAACGCAAAATATCAAGGACTTTTTGCTCCGGTATTTATTTTGTTAAAAAGAAGTAAATGATATATATCATGATATATATCACTTGATATATATCGGCCAACCCTGGTAAATCGTCAAAATCAATCGAAGTGTGTGTTGATATTTTCAGGGCAAAGTCTACCTATTCGATAAAGTCTTCAAACCGAACGCGACACAAGAAAAGGTCTACAATGAAGCAGCTAAAAGTATCGTCACAGATGTCCTGTCCGGATTTAACGGTACCATTTTCGCATACGGACAAACATCTTCCGGTAAAACACACACAATGGAAGGTGTCCTAGGTAATCAATCGAACAAATCAATAGGAAATCATGGAAACCATCCATATTTCTCAAAGTAGAAAAAACAAAAGTCCCAAAGTCTGTTGACCACGAAAAAATCATTTAATCCAAATTCAAATTCACTTTATTTTCCTTTTTGAACAACAAGTACACTGTATTAGGTTCGTCATACGTTAATACATAATGAAGTATGAATGAATAAATGATGAATGAATAAATGATAGATGAGAGAATGAAGCTACAAAAAAAAATATGGATACAATTAAAAGTAGAGACATAGATACATATCAGAGGAGGGCATCTCTGCTCTTCATAAGTATAAGGAAATCTTCCACATTGTAGAGAGGATTCGCTGTTAAAAACATTTTCAGCTTTGTTTTGAACAAGTTGAATCTCAAGTCACGAAAATCAGAGGGCAATGAATTAAAAAGCTTGACACCTATGTCATCAAATCTTTTTAAGCGTGTGAGGGGCAGTATCAAATTGTTGTTTTTCCTGGTGTTGTGTGAGTGAACATCAGAGTGTACCTTATAAGTATTTAAGTTGCTCTTCACTTCTACTAATTTCTCATATACAATTAGAGAGTAAAGTGTCATTAATTGGAGTTCCATAAACAGTGGTTTGCTGGAGACCTCTCTATTCACATTCAATATACTTCTTATGGCATGTTTTTGTGTCAGGAAAAGTTTATGTAGATGTACTTGGGAAGCTGAGCACCAGACATTTAATCCATACCTGAGGGTAGATTCAAAAATGGAATAGTAGGTCATTATGGCAGCTGACTTGCTTATACATTGTCTCACTTTTTTTATAGCATAGATCGCAGAATTCAATCTGCTGCATAATTGTGTTATATGGGTACTCCACATGAGCCTTACATCAATGTTTCACCCTAAAAATTTTGTGTAAGTATCTTCATTGCGGATGTCATCGATTTTAGTTATTCTGGATTCAAATACTAGTGTCTTAGTTTTTTTCTCGTTCAGAACTAATTGATTTGGGACAAACCATGATCTTGCAGATTCTAATATTTCCTTCTGGATAGTTGTTGGGTCCTCTCCTCTTTGTACATTAATACCAAAAGTGGCGTCATCCGCATATAGAACAGTACCTATTTTTTTATTCTGGATAACATTTGGTAAGTCATTTATGTATATTAGAAATAGCAGAGGACCCAACACCGATCCTTGGGGTACACCTCTAATTATCTGTTGGGGTCCACTTAGCTCATTTCCTATCATAACTCTCTGATCTCGATTTCCCAGGTATGAAGCAATTATATCAAGGGCTACACTCCTGATACCATTTAATATAGGTCGTGTAACTAGTTTCGGCCACAGGCCATCATCAGACACAAAATTGATGTATTCAGAAGTACCTCAGCAATACATATTAACAGCAAAATAAATCATCAGAAAGTCATGTCGAAATTCAAAATATCAGTCCTGAATTCAAAATAGGTTTAAATCGGGAAAAAGTTCAGTAAAACCAGATCAGAATTATATTAATAAAGAGATACAGTAGCACAATATTATCAAAAACCTTTGCATTTGCATTTTTCATAACCTGATGAATCTCACGTGAGAGAATTTTTTGAAAGTTTTGGTGAATTTTTTTTGCTGTTAATATGTATTGCTGAGATACTTCTGAATACATCAATTTTGTGTCTGATGATGGCCTGTGACCGAAACTAGTTACACTACCTATATTAAATAATTTTTTCGTGGTCGACATACTTTCGGACTTTTATTGTTTTTTCTTATAAAAATCGATAGGTTCCAAATAGTAGTTGAAGGTTTTTTTTCTTATTTATAGGTGATCCTCAAAAACAGGGTATAATACCCCGAATAGTAAACGATATATTCAATCACATCTACGCTATGGAAGAAAATCTGGAATTCCACATCAAAGTATCGTATTTCGAAATCTACATGGACAAAATTAGGGACTTGTTAGATGGTGAGAGCAAAATCTCTTCCTCATAGACTTATTATCCCAAGGATACCGAATTATTTATAAAAACTACGCATCACTAATTTCGTCGTATAATACATGGTTGAATTCAGAATAAAAAAACCTTTTAGAATCTGTGAAAAAATTATCAGGACCGTATTTAAAAAACAAAAGTTGATGATGGTTCCACGAATACGAAACGTCGCATGAAAAAATCGGTATCACCACGTTGACTGTCATCAAAAGTTGCTATGAAAAAGTATTCTCAGTTTTGCTGTATCTCTAATAATAACGGAGAAAAAAAATAAAATAGAAATTCCAAAAATTCACTTTTTTCGATATAACTCAAAAACTAAAAATAATTTTCAAAATTTTCGAAGGCTCTTGATATGAGCCTCCGAATGCGCAACTTTTTCCCCATTTAACCGATTTCGTATCTCTTACCGTTTTCGAGATCCCCATGCTGTTTAACCTTATCTTGGACAGACTGTATACGTTTTGACATTAAAGTCATATATTGGTGGAAATCAAAAACAGTTGCTTCCAGTTAGAGATCGACCAATAAAAACCCTAAGTGCAATTTTGGATCATTATAATGCAATTTACATACATGAGGACGATGGTACACAATCGAAGTTTGGTGCGTTCGTCCTGCCTCAGCCAGTAAAATAAGAACGGCGAACACACACCAAAATAAAAATTAACGAGCCATGGTAGTACATCATGGCTGGTCGGGAAATTTACCAACATTACTTCCATAAAGTGAAATTTCTCATGTAGACTATATGTAGGTACTGACTGGGCAAGTATGATCCGGTTGTAGCAAGCAAGCAAGTAAACCGTTGCCGACGAGCGGCGAGTATCAATTAAAGCGCTATGCGCTATGATTTTTAGGATTTTTTTATCTTGAGTTCTTCTATAATAGATTCTAAATGCGCAAAAAATTCTTCATTCTTGCCCATTTGAACATGTCTGTAAGACCAATATCAACTGAGATAGCTATTGAATAAAATATAAACAATCACAACGATCACACTGTACATGGCATTCATTGATTTTTTATCAACTGAGTTAGCTATTGGGTAAAATATAAACCATCACCCTGTAGATGGCATTTATTGATGTATCAGTTGCAATACTGAGCAAATATACCTTGTTTACAAAGAGGTCAGATTGGTATTCCTTGTTATCCACATGGAAACATAGGAACAAAACAAATAAAAGTTTCATGAATGAGATGTTTCTTCTCCTTGGAATAATAAGTATGCTCTTCCTGAAATGTTGTGCACTTTTTAATTGTTCGTTTCTGCAGTATCCAAAGTAAATTTAAGCGTTCACGAAGACAAAAACAGGGTACCGTATGTGAAGGGAGCCACGGAAAGATTCGTTTCCAGTCCAGAAGAGGTATTCGAGGCGATAGAAGAAGGAAAATCGAATAGGCATATAGCAGTTACGAGTAAGACAGCTTTTTGAAGTGTATTTAAGCATTGTCGATTTAAATGAAAACCTAGTTAGTAAGGTGAGCCATGAGGAACTGTACATACTCCTACTACGAATAGAGGCCCTTTAGGGTAATGTCTAATGACCATCACAAACTGTCTTCTTCTTTTTTTCACCAATAAATAGTGCTCTAACAAAGCAAATGTGCTTGATTCTTTATACAGTTGATTTGTTGGAGTATCATATGGAAGACAATACAGTACTTTCAATGCCTTCTTATAAAGAACAGAAATTTTGTTGAAACTATTTTTGGAACAAGATCCCTAAATATTTATGAGATAGTTAATTCCACTGAGTATATGTGAATTTTGAATAATATTTGATGTATATGTACTAAGTTTAGGACATATTCTTAAAGCACCTATAATGGAAGATATTTTCCCTATTCACCATTATGGGTCTTCTCATGAATCACCCTGTATACCTATTGCTTACTGACTAGGTTTTCAATCAGAACTAAAATAGTCAAACAAACTTGATCATCAATCCTTCAATCCCATTCCAGATATGAACGAACACTCGTCTAGGTCGCATTCCGTATTCCTCATTAACGTGAAACAGGAGAATTTGGAAAACCAGAAGAAACTCTCTGGCAAATTGTACCTAGTAGATTTGGCGGGTTCGGAGAAAGTTTCTAAAACAGGAGCCGAAGGCACAGTGTTGGACGAGGCGAAAAACATCAACAAATCACTGTCGGCTTTAGGAAACGTCATCAGCGCCTTAGCTGACGGCAACAAAACGCATATTCCCTACAGAGATTCCAAGCTGACGCGTATTCTACAAGAATCTCTTGGTGGTAATGCCAGAACGACGATCGTCATTTGTTGTTCGCCCGCTAGCTTCAACGAGTCGGAAACAAAGTCCACATTGGATTTCGGCAAAAGGTGAGACATCTAGAAGAGAAGAAGTAAGAGAGTAACAGAGTGTGAAAGAGTGGGAGTGTAAGAGAGTGAAATTGAGGTCGGATATGTGTAAGAGAGGTGTTATTACCTCTTGGTGGTAATGCTTGAACGACGATCGTCATTTGTTGTTCGCCCGCCAGCTTCAACGAGTCAGAAACAAAGTCCACATTGGATTACGGCAAAAGGTGAGAAATCCAGAAGAGAAGAAGTAAGAGAGTAACAGAGTGTGAAAGAGTGGGAGTGTAAGAGAGTGAAATTGAGGTCGAATATGTGTAAGAGAGGTGTTATTACCTCTTGGTGGTAATGCCAGAACGACGATCGTCATTTGTTGTTCGCCCGCCAGTTTCAACGAGTCCAAAACAAAGTCCACATTGGATTTCGGCAAAAGGTGAGAAATCTAGAAGAGAAGAAGTAAGAGAGTAACAGAGTGTTAAAGAGTGGGAGTGTAATTGGTAGATCAATATCATTTTTATTTCTAGTATATACATTTAGATCCAGAGAGATTCCTCTGATTTCTGTTAATCAAACAAACAGTTTCAAAGATGAATAGGCACGTGAGTGTCGAAATTTTACAATGAATGAAAAGATGTCTACAATGGTCACTAGATCTAGCTTTACAAAGGTATCTCACCGGTTTTTTCTGTAGAAAAAATATCGTGGACAGTAAATGTTGACTACAAAAGCCCCAGAAAGCTAGATCATATCTACGAGGGAAAAATATGTATTTCTAGCAATATCAGAACCAAGCTCATTTGACACAATTCTAACAGCATAGCAACCTGACGCTAGCTTTTTTCTCAGTGACAAAATATGTCCATCAAATCTCAATTTGTTGTCAATGTGCGAACCCAAGAATTTAGTATTCGATTTGTTTTCAATGTTATGTGAACCAAGAGTGAGATTGTCAAATTTGAACTTGAAAGTTATAACAGAGATAGTTCGAATTGCACCAAGATTTTACCTCGTTTTAAGTCGTGTGAAATGACTTCTTTGAGCGTAGCTATATTTTTTCCATGCCATATAAGAGTGGTGTCGTTTGCAAATAGTTCCTGTAATGTTCAAGTAAGCTAGATCATTTAGATACAATAAGAATAAAATTGGGCCAAGCACTGATCCCTGAGGAACCCCTGATTTGATAATTGAACGATTTGAGCATTCATTAGAAATTTTGACTCCGTACTCTAATATACAAAAAACGTCAAAACAGCAGTGTCAAGTACATTTAGGAACTCTAGTGAGTAGTAGAGAAAGATAGTGAGGAGTTGTTTCTCCTCATAGAGCCAAGACTGTCAAGAACGTGGTCTGCGTGAACGAGGAGCTCACCGCCGAAGAATGGAAGCGGCGCTACGAGCGGGAAAAAGAGAAAGTGGCCCGACTGAAGGGCAAAGTGGAAAAGCTCGAGACGGAATTGAACAGATGGCGGAACGGCGAGACCGTTTCCAGCGACGAACAGATCAACCTCAACGATCTTTCTGACGCCGCGACGCCCGTCAACGCGATGGAGGAGAGCGTCGTCGTCGAGAAGCCGTCGGGTCCTTTGCCTGCGACGCCTGCTCTGATGATCGGTTCGACGCTGGGCATCGAGGAACGCAACAAATTGGAATTGGAAAGGGAGAGGCTGTACCAGCAGCTGGACGAGAAGGTCAGAAACAAATTATGGTTTAAGATAGTAATAGGGTATACGCATGTGAAAATTTTACACTGGAATATATTTTTGTTCCATTATTCATATGTATAGATGTCGAATTGTACATCCGAAAAACATTATTAAGAACCGAATATTTAATAATTTCTGATTGAAAATCATAATATTTGCAACTTTCCGACCAACAGCCGAACTGCAGCGATGATTTCCGACTGGATGTGGCTGTTTTTATTTGTCATGTCATTCATGTCCGAAAGATTGAAAATAATATAAGAAGAGAAAGTGAGGTTATGATGCATGTTGTTTCAAATATATATTACCACCTATCAATTTATATCTCATATAGTTTTCCATATCTTCTTCAAGCTGAAAACGAAATCACATATTATATAATTCTCCTAATAACATGAGGAACATAATCATTGATATATAATGGGTTTCACTAGGACATACTTGAACTTATACTCACTTCGAAATGGTCTTCACAGACAATCCTCTGGTTTTCTGGGATAAATCATTTCTGTTTATGGCTTGCAACCATGATTTTGTTTTCTCTTTATTTTTATCACTCGATCCCACTGGTAATGAAAGGAATATTTTTCCTGGTGATACTTTTGTTGATGAAAGGCATTGCGGCACTAAACAGTATTTGATATAAACATTATCATTTTCCATTTTCAAATTTCAAATTTCTGGCGTTTAACTGTTTTCTTCTACCTCTTCTTCTTCTTCTTTTTTTTCAATCTGAATCTTGTCATTCTGTCGCGCTAGTCTATGGCTGTGCGGCCTAATACTATGACGTCATAATATTAGTGATGGCCACTAACCCGTTTTCCTGTGACTTCATATTTAGCCTCATTTAAATGAAATTTTTCAGAGTCACAAGCAAATTTGAGATTAATGAATGATATCCAATGTTATTATAAGGAAGAAGGAATATAATTTCGATTAAACAAAAAATCATGCGTATTCCTTATTGGCAATAATCTCCGCGCTCCGAATTAACCTTATTGTTAAAATATAATGAAAACTCTCCAAGTCGTCTCCACAACGTTTAATTTCAAATTCGGACCCAAACGGTAGCCATCATCAGCCAGACAGAAATTGTTCTACAAAGAACAACGAAACAATACCCAGCAAACATTTTGATATGGGGCATCAATGGCCTCATATATCTTTCCCATAGGGGTTTTAGGGGTCCAATGGATCTGAAAGCTCTAGTACCTCTTTATTTCACAATATAACCCAGATTCCAAGAAAACAATTTTATGAATGACACAATGATATCTTCTTAACCTCTCTGTTCTTCAACGATGAAACTTCTCGGAGTGACTTACTGGTTGGTATGTGGTATCAACATCTTATCGGGTAGCATTCCTTCAAAGTTGATTCTTCGTTGTGAGGTACTTCTGAAATGCATCATTAGTTATATTATATTAATGGCCTATGAGTTGCATGAGTTTATAACTTGATAATATAGTCTGATAACATGGAGCTTTTCAATTCTCATTATTTTCTTGGCACTGGTATTTCTGTAGCTGAAACCTTATTGTTATTCAGTTCTTTGATATTGAGACAGGTTCACATCACCTAAGATTGCTTTTTATAGCAACAATCGAGTTAAAAATGATAGTTGCTTTTGGAGAAGTATAGCCAACTCCAATTATTATGATCATTAGGTATATGAGGTTATGAGATACCAAACACATGCATTTAATAATGAAATTCGAAACATTATGTAGGTAGTATTGAAAAGGAATATTCTCAGATATATTATAAACATGAAAAAATGGATACATTTGAATAAATACATTGAGAATTCGCATTCTCTATGTGATGAAATTATTAATTCTTTCTCGGCATATTCAACAGAAAACAACTACTTTCCTGGCTATATGCCACGACGAACATTGAATTATATCAATTGAACATACACGATAGGAATTTGAGCATAAAATGAATATCGTCTGAAATTGAGAATTGACATTCTCTTCCAGAATCGGATGAATACTATGATGAATATAACGATATAAAAAATATATTACTTACCAAATTGGTATGAAAATTGGAATGTATGGGAGAAATATACTAGTATACATACTCTGTTCTTGTTGAGTCGTGAATTTATCAAAAATCATCCGTATCCATGATGTTTGGGATATATGCACATCTCTTTCACATAGGTTAGATGATTTTGATTCGAATAAAATTCATTTCGAGTTTCATATAGCCAGGAAAGTAGTTGTTTTCTGTTGAATATGCCGAGAAAGAATTAATAATTTCATCACATAGAGAATGCGAATTCTCAATGTATTTATTCAAATGTATCCATTTTTTCATGTTTATAATATATCTGAGAATATTCCTTTTCAATACTTTCATACCCAATCAAGGGGTTCAAACTTGAACGATGGAAACTTGTTATTTTTATAGACCTTCAATCGCAGATTCGTGATTGGGTTTTTCTCAATTCAGAATTTCTTTCCACGCCCTGTATGATAAATGTCAGTTTGTCATACATCTAAAACAATTATCTAGGTAGATTGATACTTACTCAATATCATCATAATTGAAGAATTTGTCTTCTGTTATTATCGATTGAGAATTCTCGGGGAAAGAGAGGACCACATTAATTCGACATAAACAAACTAGTACGTGATCACCACTTCACTGAGTCAGCCATCTTAGTCACATATAATATTGATCAGCTGATTGTTCATGTAGACGTTCCCAGAACATCCACCAGCGGGACGAGTAGCGAACATGAAATTGGCCAGCAAAGGGCCAGATCTCGTTAGTATTCAATTAGTTCCAGACATCTTACCATCACAAGGCCATCATCGTATTTTCAACTGATGGTTACTTGGCATAGGAAAATCATCGGCCCATTACCAATACCCCGGCATCGTCACTTTCCCAGACTAGTTCAATGTTTGCTGGGCCTGACATGATAAAATGATTTGGGATACATTTTTTTTGTCTGTTGTAGGATGAAGAGATCAACCAGCAGAGCCAGTTCGTGGAGAAGCTGAAGGAGCAAATGATGGACCAGGAGGAGCTGATCGCCGGTACTCGCAGAGACTACGAAGCTCTCCAAGCCGAGATGAACAGGATCCAGCAGGAGAACGAAAGCGCCAAGGAAGAGGTAAGAAAGGCGAAGTTGCGAAAAATGATGATTTTTTTTTTTAATAAAAAATTTGAGTGTTTTTTATTAAATCATGATAGTTTTTATTTATACTAAGGGTTTCCTTTGAATATTGGTATAATGAACTTCAGCCCATTAGCGCCGTGCGTTGCCGCATGGCAACGCTAGTCAGGTGGAGTTTCAAATGATTCTCAAGTACATGTCGCCAGTGCATTGTAGTAAGCTGGTTCGGCCACGTGAATTTGTGAAACTTTTGAGTTCATTTGAACTGACGTTCTGCAGGCTCTCGAAGATCTCGACTCAAAAAACGAAGAAATGGAGTCCATCACCGAGGAACTTATTCATTCATTCATCCGTGTTTGTTGTTTAGAATCGATGGAGTAATACTTTGTGATTATTTATGAATGAATCGCGGTATCTATCTTGATTTAGCTAGGGACTCACCCGCAAATATACAAGTCTCTGTAATTATCCCCACCATTCGCGATTACCCACCATTCGCGATTACCCACCATTTGTGACCGTTTCTGGCATGATTGTTGGCGTATACTTATCAACAATTATGAATGAATCACGGTATCTATCTATCGTTTTTTAGTCACTCACCCTCAAATGCTCCAGTGTCTGTTATTATCCCCACCATTCGCGATATCATTTACTTATTCGTATTTGGCGTTCAGGATTGTTGACGTATACTTTTCAATGCTTTTGGAATGAATCGCGGTGTCTATCTACTTTTATTTAGTCTGAGCACTCACCCGCAAATGTACCAGTGTCTGCGATTTCAGGATTGGTGGCGTATACTTTTCAATGATTCATGTATGAATCGCGGTGTCTCTTGACGCTTCCATCTCTGCAGGTTAAACAAATTCTGCAGGCTCTCGAAGATCTCGCCGTCAACTACGACCAAAAGAGCCAAGAATTCGACTCAAAAAACGAAGAAATGGAGTCCATCACCGAGGAACTTATTCATTCATTCATCAGTGTTTGTTGTTTAGAATCGATGGAGTAATACTTTGTGATTAATTATGAATGAATCGCGGTATCTATCTTGATTTAGCTAAGGACTCACCCGCAAATATACAAGTCTTTGTTATTATCCCCACCATTCGCGATTACCCACCATTTGTGACCGTTTCTGGCATGATTGTTGGCGTATACTTATCAACAATTATTTGGCGTTCAGGTTTGTTGACGTATACTTTTATGAATCGCGGTGTCTATCTACTGAGATCTCAGGATTGGTGGCGAGGTGGCGTATACCTTTCAATGATTCATGTATGAATCGCGGTGTCTCTTGCAGGTAAAAGAAGTTCTGCAGGCTCTCGAAGAGCTCGCCGTCAACTACGACCAAAAGAGCCAAGAAGTCGACGCCAAAAACAAGGAAATGGAGTCCATCTCCGAGGAACTCCTCCAGAAACAGGCCAACCTCAACACCACCACCACCGAACTCCAACAACTCCGAGACACCAGTACGCACCACAAGAAGCGCATCGCCGACATGTTGGCCGCATTGCTCAAGGAGTTGGGGGAGATCGGGTCTACTTTGGGTGGTGGTGGGGGGGAGGACGTGAAGCTGCCCAACGATTCGGCTGCAAAGCTGGAGGAGGAGTTCACGGTGGCCAGGCTGTACATAACGCGGATGCGGAACGAGGTGGGCAATCTGACGCAGCGGTTGCAGGATATCGAGAACAAGGAGCAGGACAGTAACAAGAAGGTAAGCCAATTTTCCGATGCCGAATCCGTTCGGTTCTCAATCGGTTTGTTTCAGTTTGTGTGGTAGGATAGAGAGAGAGAGAGAGAGAGAGAGAGACATATACAGAGAGAGAGAGAGAGACCTATACAGAGGAGAGAGAGAGAAATATTGTGACAGGAGTAGGTTATGAGAGTAGCAGGTCGCATCGGGAAAGCTGAATGTTAATTAGTTGTTATCCTTCTTTTCAACACTATTTTATTAGCTTCACCTGTATGAATGTATGTAACCGACTCCTTTAAACTCGATTTTGACCCACCTAAACGGACTGATTGATTTGAAATTTGGCAGGTGTACTTGATTCTGGTGACAATATTAATGCATCATGACATTTTTGTTAGATAAAAATACGAAATGGCGGCTCCAGTTTTGTAATTAGTATCTGATTTTATTCAAAATTGGTATCTGGGGGTTTTCGAGGTCGGAGATTATGAATCTTTCGTCAAAATTGGTGAAATCAAGATTACGGATTCAATATGGCGGACCAGTTTTGTAAATATGATCCGAATATATTCAAAACTTATATCTGGGAGTTTCCGGCGTAGAGATTGTGATACTTTCGTCAACATTTGAAAAATTCAAGATGGCGGATGCAGTACGGCGGACGAGTTTTGTAATATTATGATCCGATTCTATCGAAATTTGGTAGGTAGGGGTTTATAAGGTCGGAAATTACGATTCTTCTGTCAAAAAGGGTAATTTCAAAATGGCGGACGAGTTTTGTGATTATAATTCCGATTCTATTCAAAATTGATGTATGGGGGATTCAGGGGTTGAAGATATGATTCTTTCGTCAAAATTGATTAATTCAAGATGGCAGATCCAATATGGCGGACGGGTTTTGTAATTATGATCTGAATGTATTCCAAATTTGTATTTAGGGGTTTTTGGGATCGGAGATTATAATGCTTTTATTCAAGATGGAGGATCCAATGTGACGGACGAGTTTTGTAATTATGATCCGTTTCAATCGAAACTTGGTATCTGGGGATTTTCGATGTCAGAGATTATGATTATTTCGTCAAAATTGGTAAATTCAAGATGACGGATCCAATATGGCAGACGAGTTTTGTAATTATGATTCGATTCTATCCAAAATTGGTATCAGGAGGTTTTCGAGGTCGGAGATTATGATTCTTTCGTCACAATTAGTAAACTCAAGATGGCGGATCCAATATGGCGGACGAGTTTGATAATTATGATCCGAATATATTCAAAATTTGTATATGGGGGTTTATAGGGTCGGAGATTATGATGCTTGCATTCAATATGGCGGATCCAATATGGTGGACGAATTTTGTAATTTTATAATCTTATTCTATTCAAAATTAGTAAGTGGGGGTTTTCGGGGTCGGAGATTATGATGCTTTTGTCAAAATTGGGAAATTTATCATGGCGGAGTGGTTTTGCAATCATGATCCGATTCTATTAAAAAAATAGTATCTGGGGGTTTTCTGGGTCGGAGATTATGATCATTAACACTAGTAAACACGCTTTTGTAGCCAAACCAAAAACTTGGAAACATAAAGTAGTTTGAAATCCTAAAGAAACACTCTCTCATAGATGGTCAAACTAAAGAAAAGTGGAAAATAAAATGATACTAAAAGTGTGTTGATGAATACACAACATACATACTGATTACGGGGTTGCTAATATTTTCTATGTTGTGTAATTATCAACACACTTTTACTATTCTATTTTTCACGTCTTTTCAGATTGGCTATCTATAAGACGGAGTTTCTTTAGATTTCCAAAAATTTTTTTTTTCAAGGTGACCAAGTACGAAAAAGAGTTGGCGGAATGCCGGTTGCTGATATCGCAGCACGAGGCGAGGATGAAAAGCTTGCAGGAGTCGATGAAGGAGGCGGAGAACAAGAAGCGCATGTTGGAGGAGAGCATCGACTCTTTGAGGGAGGAGTGTGCCAAGCTGAAGGCGGCCGAACAAGTGAGTTTTTTTTCAAATTTTAATAATCGGTGTTATTCCCAAGAAACATTCATGCTGATCACAGGGAAATGTAGGAAAGAGTGAATGAGAATTTACATAATTAGATAATTATTTTAACCCTTAACTACTATTCATACGTCTCAGAGGCGGCATATCGGCATCCGATTTGTTAGATTACTCCTGCTTTTCAATATCGGCCATTGTCCTACCACGTGATTTATGTCCACCCAGCACTCATTCAGTACCCTAAAGTTGACCTATGTATGTGGTTCAGTTTTAGAAATATCTTGAGTGAAAGATAGATTGCCGTCTCGTAGACGTTTAGTTAGTCATTAGGTAACAGTAAAAGTTCAATTTTGCCTATAATACGTATGATTGCGTTGATATCTAGATATACAGGCATTGTAATTTTTTTCAATTTGCATGTTTATGACTTAGTTCGGTGCCATATTTTATTACGACTCTAACTGTGTTCAGAATGACAATAATATCATCGACGAATCTAGTATTTCTATAGATCAATGTCAAAATCTTGAACATTAGGTACTCCTCAATGAAATTTTGATCGCCACTGAAATTTGTATTTCTATTACAATTTTGAACATCATTTTCTCTTCGCCAAATATGTAGAGAACATGTTTGAATAGCTCGCAAAAATGAAATGAAAAGATTTCGATTTTTATGGACATTTCAATAGTCCCGTCGGTGAGACGTATGGTTAGGGACAACGTTATACAGGGTAACTAACGGTCGATGGTACGTTAGACGTTTATGGAGAACGGGACATGGGATCATTCTGAAATTTTGGTTACTCACGTAGTTGCTCTTGGTCTATCGATCTAAAATATTTTCAGCTCTGCGGCGTTGCCGCTTCTATCGAAAAGTAGCAACAACTTTGTTATTTTTTATGGAACACCCTGTATTTTATTGCATTTTCAGATTCTCTCTGAAGAGCTGATTTCATCGACGTATCACACTTGGGGTCTAGCGGAAATGATTACAGAGATATAGGGTGTGAAAAATCGTCATTTTGCAACTTTAGGAATTTTTTTGTCGAAACTATTCATTATTGGTCCAAACGGCTTACATGTCCCTATCTCAACTTTTGATTAACTATCTACTGATATTTAATTGGGACATATACCGGGTGATCAAGATTCTGAATTCTGCACGACCCTGTATTTGTTTCAATTAAATGTCAGTAGATAGTTGATCAAAAGTTGGGATAGGGACATGTGAGCCGTTTTGACCAATAATGAATAGTTTTGACAAAAAAATTCCTAAAGTTGAAAAATGGCGATTTTTCACACCCTATATCTCTGTAATCATTTCCGCTAGACCCCAAGTGTGATACATCGATAAAATCAGCTCTTCGAAGAGAATCTGAAAATGCAATAAAATACAGGGTGTTCCATTTAAAATAACAAAGTTGTTGCTACTTTTCGATAGAAGCGCGGCAACGCTGCAGAGCTGAAAATATTTTAGATCGATAGACCAAGAGCAACTACGTGAGTAACCAAAATTTCAGAATGATCCTATGTCCCGTTCTCCATAAACGTCTAACGTACCATCGACCGCGAGTTACCCTGTATATTTGAAACGTTAGTAGTTTAGGGTTAAATCATATGAGTCTGTTGATGAATAATTTCATCTGTATACATATAATGGTGTTTCTTCTTGAGACTGTTGAATATGGATAAGTTCTTGATTCGATTCAAGATGATACAAGACAGCCACAGAAATAAGTGTTTTTAGTTGTTTTTTGAATTATTTTCTGGCAGGTAATTCATTATAGGGATTGTTCCATTGTATAAAGTGCTCCATATCTGATTTAATTTTGATGAGAGTTAACTTTGGTTAGATGTTCAAATTCCGAAACGATATTTTTTTCTTATTTTTCAGGTGCAAAGCGTGAGCGAGAGCGAGAAAAAGGAGGCGAGCGAGTTGCTCAAAGCTCTCGAACAGCAAATGGACCAGCTGCGCGTGGCGCATCAGAAGCAGGTGGCCGCTTTGAGGGACGAGATCGATGAGAAGCAGACCCTCATCAACGACATCAAAGAGTAAGAATTTTTCTGTTTTCAGGTGGCAAATTTTCGGCAATGTTTCCGTATTTTTTTGCATCGGTATGGTGACAAGACGGTGGTTTGGCTATTATGAAGCATCATCGCACGAAGAGGAGACGGAGAATAAAAATTCTTGAATATTCAATGCTTACTGTACAGGGTGAGCCAAATCGGACACTTTTGACGGGAAAGTCCTATTCTCTAACCAGATGGAAGAACACTGATGTCGGTGCCTGAGGGTCGATTCTCATGAAAAAAACTCAAAATGGTGAAAACCGCATATCGATATCTGTCTTCGTTTCGGAGTTACAAGGTGTTTTTCGAAAATGGGCATTTTTGGAAAGTGGCTACAGATATTTTTTCCTTGGCACACATTGTCTGTTCTCATGAAAAAAAAAACTGCAAAGCATTGAGTGTGTGATAAAAATTGTTCTCGAGGCACTGAAATCGGCCCTCCTATATCTAGTTCAAAAATATAACTTGTTCTTCTTACAACAAAAGTTCTATTTTGTAACTAGGTATATGGTGACTGATTTCAGTACCTGAGGATCAATTTTCATGGCAAACACAATGCATTAGAAATGTTTTCATGAAAACGAAGAATTTTTGCGAAAAAAAAAGTTTTAGCCACTTTTCAAAAATTCACATTAACTCTGAATCCTCAAATCGTACATTATTCCAGAAAGTCAAGAAAATTAACCGACTCTTTTTCGAAATACAGGGTATTCATTGAAGAAACCGCATTTTTTCAAGAAACTTGGACTGTATCTTTTTACTCACCCTATATACAGGGTGGGCCACCAGTAACGCCTCGGTCTCTAGAAGGCTAACCACTTATCTTCTTGGAATTCTTCCTCTCTAGGAAGTTGCATGTCAGCATAGGCTACCGTTTAAAATTATTTCGAAACATACAGGGTGTCCCTAAAAACCATAAAACACTGAAGTTGAACTTTTTTCTATCGAACACCCTATATATTATTTCATTTTGAGATTCTCCCTGATGAGCTGATTTCAACGACCCATCATACTTGGGGTCTAGCAGTTATAATTACTGAAATATAGGGTGTGAAAAATCGAGATTTTCCAAGTTCAAGAATTTTTTGTGTTGAAACTATTCATAATTGGTCAAAACGGCTTACATGTCCCTATCTCAACTTTTGATTAACTATCTACTGATATTTAATTGGGACATATACCGGGTGATCAAGATTCTGAATTCTGCACCACCCTGTATTTGTTTCAATTAAATGTCAGTAGATAGTTGATCAAAAGTTGAGATAGGGACATGTGAGCCGTTTTGACCAATTATGAATGGTTTAGACACAAAAAATTCTTGAACTTGGAAAATCTCGATTTTTCACACCCTATATTTCAGTAATTATAACTGCTAGACCCCAAGTATGATGGGTTGTTGAAATCTCAACATGAAATAATATATAGGGTGTTCGATAGAAAAAAGTTTAACTTCAGTGTTTTATGGTTTTTGGGGACACCCTGTATCTTTCGAAATAATTTTAAATGGTAGCCTATGTTGACATGCAACTTCCTAGAGAGGAAGAATTCCAAGAAGATAAGTGGTTAGCCTTCTAGAGACCGCGGCGTTACTGGTGGCCCACCCTGTATATGAACTGAGTATGCGACGTTCCCAACATCAAAGAATGTCTTGATATATATATGATATGCTCTCCCCTTTCCGATTCAAAAAACTAGGGATTGACGTAGCCCTATTTTCGAACCTCGATGTATATAGAAAAAAATTTCAGTAAACTTTGATCGAGTTAGGAGAAGTTCGTCCATGCTTCAATAGGATCCTTTATTCTCATGAAAGAACTTACCCTGGTTGGTTTAAAATTAATCAAATTGGATTTTTCTTTGTTCACCCTGTTGTAGAGCCCGAAACGTAAAATTATAATGGATACGAGATCTATATCACATTGTACCATCATTCAGGCATGTTATTCCATGAATAAATGGCCGTTTTGTCATAAGGAAAGTGCGGGGTCCTTTAATTTTTCAACTCGAAAAAGAAAAAAAAACATAAAATCTCTTGTAGATGAGAGCGATGAAGGAAAAATGTTGTACGGTTTGTTCTAAACCTCCAGAAAGTTGTATCAAATGAAACAAATGATTGTTTGTATTTCCGGGCGCCATTTGATCGTCTCCTCTTGTACTGTAGTGTGGTGAAAGTATTTTGATATTCAAAATATGCAACAAAATGTACAGCTATTATCACCAAATTGGCTTCATCATCAATTCTCACTAAATTCAATTTTTCAACTCGAAAAAGAAAAAAACATCGAATCTCGTTGTAGATGAGAGCGATGAAGGAAAAATGGCAGTAGATATCCTTAAACTGAAACACCCTGACAACATAACCATCAAAAACTATAAACGGTGGTAAGTACGCCGATTCGCACCAGATTTAAAATTGACCAATTTGGCCCACCCTGTACATACAGGGTCAATCCGTATATTTGAAGAACTTCTACAGGGCTTATGATTGATGATAGAACAAAAACTTCCAATGCAAAAGTTGTAGGGTTTGTTCTTAACCTCCAGAAAGTTGTATCAAATGAAACAAATGATTATTTGTACTTCCGGGCGCCATTTGATCGTCTCCTCTTGTAGTGTGGTGAAAGTATTTTGATATTCAAAATATGCAACAAAATGTACAGCTATTATCACCAAATTGGCTTCATCATCGTTTCACTAAATTCAATTTTTCAACTCGAAAAAGAAAAAAAAACATAAAATCTCGTTGTAGATGAGAGCGATGAAGGAAAATTGGCAGTAGATATCCTTAAACTGAAACACCCTGACCACATAACCATCAAAAACTAAAAAAGGTGGTAGGTACAGGGTGATTCACCATAAATGTCCCCCCTTCTAGCTCAGTTATTTTTGAACCAATTTCAAAATTTGAAATATCATCTTAAATGATTTTCGATAAAGTTTTTTTCCGCTACATCAGAAAATACAGGGTGCTCGGAACAAACGATCTACAAGGAAACTATTCGATTTTTTTAAATGGAACTCCCTATTTTTCATTGCATCTTTAGATTCTCCCTCAAGAGCTGATTTGATCAATGCATCACACTTGGGGTCTAGCGAGAATGGTTACAGAGATATAGGGTGTTCAAAATCGAGAGTTTTCAACTTTAGGATTTTTTGTGACGAAACTATTGATTATCGGTCAAAACGGCTCTCATGTCCGTATCTTAACTGTAGATTTACTATCTTCTGATATTCAATGATTGGAACAGATACAGGGTGATCAGAATTATAAATCTTGAACCACCCTGTAAATGTTCCAATCAAATGTCAGTAGATAGTAAATCAAAAGTTGAGATGGGAAGCCTTTTTGACCAATAATGAATAGTTCCGACACAAAAAAAATCCTAAAGTTGAAAAATCTCGATTTTGAACACCCTATATCTCTATAATCATTCCCGCTATACCCCAAGTGTTATGTATTGATGAGATCAGCTCTTCAGGAAGAATCTTAAAATACAATGAAATACAGGGTGTTCCATTTGAAAAAATCAAGTAGTACTCTGTAGATCGTTTGTTCTGGCACCCTGTATTTTCTGATGCAACGGGAAAAAAATTGTAAATAATCATTTTAGATTATTTTTCAAATTTTTAAATCGGTTCAAAAATAAGTGAGCTAAAGGGGGGGAAATTTATGGTGAATCACCCTGTACGCCGATTGGTACCAGATTTAAAATTGACCAATTTGGCCCACCCTGTACATACAGGGTCAATCCGTTTATTTGAAGAGCTTCTACATGATTGATGATAGAACAAAAACTTCAGAGGCAAAAGTTGTAGGGTTTGTTCAAAACCCTCCAGAAAGTACTTGTGTCAGATGAATAGTAGATTGTTTTATTAGGATCAAAAGTGACACTTTGTTTGACAAGCGAATTTTGCATTTGCGAGGCGGAGCGTTTAGCGAAGCCGAGCGAAAGCAAAATTTGCGAGTCACTTTTGATCCGAATGAAACATGCTATTTTTTTTGCAACCGAAACAATTATCTCAAATAAACATGTGAAGTAACCACCAATGCCGTGCCATATGTATGCAATGCAACAAATATTGACAAATAATCCATGTGGTGAGAATATTCTACCTGCATTAACAGCAGGTTAGGTTTTCTAGGATGTTCGAATTGTAGTTTCAATATAAATACAACCACAGAGTGACATATTCGTGTATGGACCAGGTGCTCTAATGGCATATACCGCGCCAGTGCCAGCTATAGGAACAAGACGTGGAAAATGTTAAGTTAGTGAGCATATCAACAATGATTATAGTGATTATTTATTCCTCTCCATACTACACTGTGTTTGACTTGATAATCAAATAAAGCTAAACAATATCGTTGTTTGAGACAAAAAAACTATTGCTTGCCGTGAATATTCAAAAACAAGTTACCCATCCCGAGAATAACGAATGAAATACAAATCAAGCAAGTATTTGAATCTTGAAGGCTTCCCTGATCAAAACAAAAATGCTTAGCTGAGATGTTTATAATTCCAATACTAAACTATAGTAAGGTGTATTTATATCTCCAGCATGGGTATGAAATGCCAAATCTGCTGAAATCGGAAACAAATAAGGTATGCGTCTCAACCCAAATAACCAGCCGTCACAATGTTGTTTATTCTTGATGACGTCCAGTATATCCTTTTCAGTTCCTAGGAGCTAAAGTTCAACTTTAGCTCCTAGGAATCAAAATTCAACTTTAGCTCCTAGGAACTAAATATGTTGCCTAGCAACATACCTATTTTTGTGTCAGTAATAGAAACGTCAATTTAAGAGCTAATTTTAGTATCAAAATGGACGACTTTTGTGTCGGTTGCAGAAAAACGAATGATTATTCGTACTTCCGGGCGCCATTTGATCGTCTTCTCCGTTTCAGCTCCAATCAGAAGCTCAGCTTGGCGCAGCAACAGCTGCAATCCGACTACGACAAGATCAAGTGCGAGGAGACGGAAAAGTCGCACAAGCTGCAGGAACTCATGTCAGTAGATTTTTCGCATAAAAAACGTTTCCATCCCTCCGATAATCGCTACCTCCACGAACCTTCTCCCTATTTGAAAAGATCGAAGTCTCCTTCTTGGGAGGAATTCGTTCCTTACAAGAACGAGGTGAAAGTTACGCCGAAATTGACTAAAGACGCGTTGAACAGTTTGACGAAAATGCATTATCACAATAATAATCATCATCACATGTCCATTTTTCACATTCACACATTCCATTTGCATCTGTTCATATCTTTGACTTTGCTGCTTGTCACACATCGTTGTCCGCAGTATTTGGTCGTAATTTAAAAATCCCCAAAAATGCCTCCGCACAGAAGAATGATTTTTCATCAAGAGCGGTAAATAGTTGATTCCATGGTAAATGTTTCACTAGCATGGAAAATTTTCACTATACAGGGTGTTTCATTGGGAAAGGTAAATAATTCAACTGTGGATAGGGGTCACTGGGGTGATTTCAAAAAACCCATGGTTGATGGGTCTTTGACTTCTTATAACCGAGATACAGGATGTTTCATCAATTTTGTCCATATCTTCATTGTCTCATAACTTTCCAACCAACCTGTATATATTTTTAAAAATTAGTACACTTTCTCAATCTATCCTGTGGAATTGATTGAGGCAACAACAAAAGATGAAATCCAGGTCCGGCTTCACTTAAAATTCACAAATTCTTTCTGCCAGAAAACAACACCCTATACATTCGAATTTCTCATTTTTTGTCATATCTGAAAAGAACATCAAAATTTCTATTGAACGATGTGCTTTTTATTCGTGCACAGACGATTTTAACTATTCATATTATGTCACATACAAATACAGGGTGTCCCATTTGAAAAATCGAAGTTGCTGCTACTTTCTAGTAGAAGCGGCAAGGCCGCATCGTTTCAAATATTTCAGTAGTGTAGATTATGTTAATTTATACATACCATCGAAATTTCAGATTTATCCGTTGCCTGGTTTGCCAGAAACATCTAATTAATGCTTATCGTGAAAAGCCCTGTATAGTTTTGATGACAGGCCTGTAACTAAATCTGGAACAAAGAACAATATGAAATACTCCTTCTAAATGTAATACTCACGTATACTGAATAGGAAGTTATAAAATTAATAAATCTCGTCTGAATCCAATTTTGTGCCCCAAAATGAGCAAAAATAATATTTTGAGCACAAAATATGAATAGTTAAAATCGTCTGTGCACGAATAAAAAGCACATCGTTGAATAGAAATTCTGATGTTCTTTTCAGATATGGCAAAAAAAATGAGAAATTCGAATGTATAGGGTGTTGTTTTCTGGCAGAAAGAATTTGTGAATTTTAAGGGAAGCCGGACCTGGATTTTATCTTTTGTTGTTGCCTCAATCAATTCCACAGGGTAGATTGAGCAAGTGTACCAATTTTTAAAAATATATACAGGTTGGTTGGAAAGTTATGAGACAATGAAGATATGGACAAAATTGATGAAACATCCTGTATCTCGGTTATAAGAAGTCGAAGACCCATCAACCATGGGTTTTTTGAAATCAACCCAGTGACCCCTATTCACAGTTGAATTATTTACCTTTCCCAATGAAACACCCTGTATATGAGAAATGTTTTCGGCTGGTGCAGAAAAAAGCAATTTATTCAAGTAGTGTGAAATACTAGTTACTTTTTCCTCAATGAGAAAAATCTTGTCAGTTCAAATGGATTCATAATTGGTTTTCAAAATACATTCCATGACTGCAAAAAAAACGCGATTAACACTAAAAAAGACAGTGAAATTAGTTATTTTCCCCACAATTGCTCAAACTTTTCATTTTTCCACGTGTGTGTGTACTTAATCGGTCAGTGCAGAAAATAACATATCCTGCAACTTGTTTAAATGATATCTTGATCCTGCTACTAGGAAGGCAACCTATAACTTCTCTCACTAGTTAGAAAATTCTTCAGTTCAGTCACTAGTGATGAAAGTAGAAATCATTGTCTGCTAAATATGGAGACAAAAATCTAGTGAGCTGTAACTACTGGTCTTCTCTATAGCTCAGTTGAGTGTATGACCACCAGAGGATGTTACCGTATCGGACGAAATGATCTTCACTTTTTTCTAGAGAAGTCTCGAAATTTGTGGTTATGTAAGTTGTCAGTCTCAAGAGCTGTCGTGCCATCGTGACTTGTATAGGTCACGTGCACGATGACCGACCCTGGAGTTGGAATATTGAAACACAACCTCACTCTTCTGTGAATTATTGAAACACAACCTCACTTTTTTATTTGTTTACAGAGGAATCAAAGGATTCAAATAGCTTTTCACAATATTTTGGCATACGAATCGTGTTTTTTGCGCTATTCATTAATTCAAGCATGCCTTTGAATTGTTCTGTTGTGTAATGCACGAAAAATGCAGCGAGAGACGAAGGAATATGATTTTTCAGGTAAACAGTAATCTCACATAGTTATCATTATGAAATGTTGTCATTCCTTATTAAAATTTCTTCTGCCTTCTGCCACTTCTGCAATACAAGCTAATACTGCTAATAGATTGAAAATGTCTACAACACACACGATCGTCAGCCTGTCAGACCAGTCCTCCCGATTGATTGCATGAATCCAATCTTTTTTCTATTAGCTCCTATTACAGAAGGAATTCCGATGAGAAATCAGAGAAATTACCAAATTTCAACAATGAAAACTAAACTGGTCAACATTGATAACGTCGTGCTCCAAAATATAGCCTGAATTCAAAGTAGAATAACACGAATTTCCTCACCAATTTGAAATCGTTTTTCACCGATGATAAGCCTAATCTCTTGACAGTTCGTTGTGGCAATATGAAACTTCTGTAATTTCAGATAACATCGCTACAGGGTGATGATTGAATGGGTGTAAAAATGCATCGTGGTCGTCACCTTACCGTTTGAACACATAATTTTTTTTTTTTTTTTTCTCACCTGTATCCTCTTGATTGATGCTTTCTCTCGAAACGTTTTCGAAATTCTCAAATTCAGAGCTTTGATAATCGTGTTATGAATATTGATTCAGAATGATGCATTTTTTCGACGATTAATTGAATGAAATTGAAAGTTGGAATTCTTCTCCGAAGAATCAACGTTGTATGTATAGTCGTCGAATATGTGATCGTGTTCGAACACAGAAAATTCTGAAAAAGTCTATACAAAGTGATACAAGAAATACTGAATGATGGAATGGAGAATAACGTAGTCTTCAGAAGATGAAACATAATTTTCTCTGTGTTACTAATGGAATAATGGAGTGTTACTTCGTCATGAGGATGTCTGGTGTCTGACCTCGAAATGGTTTTGTAATTTCTTGGATCGAAGGTCATATAATGAAAGTACGCATTTTTAATCGAAATGATGCATTTTCGTTAAGATTCTATTAAATGTTTTCATATTAATGAAGATGAATACAGTAAGTCCCCATGAGGCTTATATGAGGTAATATGAAAGAGACTTCAAAATTGCCATATATTCGTGCAAACTTGTTACCATTGCATCTTATACTGATCTAGCACCTACAACATGGTCTTCCGAAGGATACTTTCCTCATTTTCACTCAGTGTGAAGTTGAATGGAGATAGAATAACTTTTGAATGCTCATTTCTGCATCATTTTTTCCACAGGGTGATTCATAAGGAATTTATAATATCTCACCTCATGCAATAGATTTGACGAATTCCGTTGAAAAAAAATATATTTTTCCTAACTTATACTCACAGTTATTGCTATTATGTTTTCTCACGTCAAAAAAATCCCAATTGCATATTGGATTGACGTTCATTCCAATATGTGAAGTCTCGTTCATATCACCTCGTATAAGCCTCATGAGGACTTACTGAATTCATCTTCATTAGTATGAAAAACATTATATCGAATATATGGGAATTATGCAGTCTCTTCCATATTTCCTCGTATAAACCTCATGAAAAGTTACTGTATTTATACATTTATAATTTATCTTAACGAAAATGCATCATTTCGATTAAAAATGCGTACTTTCATTATATGCCCTTCGATCCAAGAAATTACCATGACCATTTCGAGGTCAGACAGCAGACATCCTCATGACGAAGTAACGCTCCATTATTTCATTAGTAACACAGAGAAAATTATGTTTCATCTTCTGAAGACTACGTTGTTCTCCATTCCATCATTCAGTATTTCTTGTATCACTTTGTATAGACTTTTTCTGTGTTCGAACACGATCACATATCTGACGACTATACATACAACGTTGATGCTTCGGTGAAGAATTACAACTTTCAATTTCATTCAATTAATCGTCGAAAAATGCATCATTCTGGATCAATATTCATAACACGATTATCAAAGCTCTGAATTTGAGAATTTCGAAAACGTTTCGAGAGAAAGCATCAATCAAGAGGATACAGGTGAGAAAAAAAATTAAGAAACTTATCTGTTCAAACGGTAAGGTGACGACCGCGATGCAATTTTACACCCATTCAATTATCACCATGTAGCTATGTTATCTGAAATTACAGAAGTTTCATATTGCCACAACAAACTGTCAAGAGATTAGTGAGGAAATTCGTGAGTTATTCTACTTTGAATTCAAGCTATATTTTGGTGCACGACCTTATCAATGTTGACCAGTTTATATGTGAGTGACTATAGTAGGTACTTACTTTTAACTCATAATGTACCCACCGGATTCCTTCGTCTTCCGCTGCAGTTTTTGTGCATTTTACAACAGCACAATATGATGGCATGAGCAAATTGATGAATAGCCGAAAAATACGATTCGTATGCCAAAATAATTGTGAAAAACTATTTCGATCACTTGTAAACAAATAAGAAAAGTGAGGTTGTGTTTCAATGTTGTGCCTCCAGGGTCGGTCATCTGACAGTTCTTGCACGCAACCCATTGTATTTTTTTCCTGAAAAAATCTCTCTTCTTCAATTCTCATTGTTCTAATATTCCTTTCGTTAATATAGGTTTGTGTTATGCTTCCAGTATTAAAGTAGTTTATTCTGATTGATAATTTGTTACAAACTCTGTCTCCCAATTGTTCCTACCAGAAAGTGTGAAACCGTCTCTACTAATGTATTTCCAAGTGATATTTCTTTGCAACATAAGTGGATACATTCGATATTGAATTTTACAGGCTCATTACAAGTAAGATAATCTAGGCCTTGATCAAAAGCTAATAATCGATACTACTGATTCTACCTCTAATTTAGGTGTTGAACATCACGAAATTGGGGACTATTGTAGTGTCTGTAGCAATCATTTTGAGAAGAAATGATTTTTTTTTTTAATTTTCGAGTTACTGAGTGACTATGTCGTGATACTGAACACAGAAACCTGTAGGTGATTTTCCTTGTTCGAGCAGACCAGTTACTACAGCTCACTAGATTTTTTTCCCGCCATATTCAGCAGACAAAGGTAGAAATCATTAACTTTTTTCTGACATCAGAAAAAAATATGTTGAATTCTCACAATATTTTCTCAAAAATGTACCCGCTTTCACTAATAGTATCAAAATGACGTGACTTGGGATAGAATAAAAAGAAAACTGAAATACTTTGCAGTATTTGATTTGTTCTTTATTTTTGAACAAATTATTCATCTAATCAACTTGTGATGAAAAATACCAAAGATGTTTTTTTCTTATGGCATTTAATGATAATTCTAGTCAATACCCTGTGATCTCCTCATACCCCTCACCATTTCCTCATCAATATTATCGAATTTTTATTTTTTGGCATTGTCACACCACCGTTTGGTTGAGTTTTCTTTTGTGAATGTTTGTAAGTACTATTTTCTTATAGTATTGTAAGTATATTGATTTTTTTCATTGAGTGTAGTTAGCACGATTTTTTTTCAGTTGTCTTTTAGTTCGCTAGAAGCTGTTCTGTTGTCATATAGCAGAGTTTTTTGAACAAAAATTCATTGCTTCATTTTTTCGATCTGAAATTTGGTAAAATAGATTATGATTTGTTCAGTGGCGTATCAAAGATTGTCCCATCATAATTTATTAATGGTATTAGAAACCTGAAAATATAAATAAGACAAGAATAATGATATAACACTCAGAATAAGTTGAATAAACAAATGATATTCGTTTCATATCAGTATGGTTAAACCTTGCGCCACTATGGTAGCTTTCCAGAAATTCTCCCGAAATTACTAGGGAGAGTCTTGGTTCATTAACTGGTCCCTATTGCAATTGATGTAAATACTTTCCAAAGTGCTCAATTTCATGTCATTCGTTAGATATGTTCTTCAAATCATGAGACTATGCTTTGGCGTGCTTGCCCAATATATTTCGTGTTACTATCATTATATATTGTTTCATAAACACCTGACTCATCGTTAGTATTAATAGATCAATACTTATCTCCTAAGATACTCGTTCTTTTTTTGTATTGAATTGGAGGGATTCCAAAACACCCTAGACTTCTCCCTAAAGATACGCCACTGCTTGAAGGTGTATTTGTGACAATATGTGTCAGAGAGCTCTGCTCTTCTAAAATTGAAACCATTGAAAAAATGTATAAATGTAAATAATAGAAATGTTTTATTAGGATAAGTTGTATAGAGAAGGTGTAAATAAGATATTTTTAATGAGAAATAATTTCTATTGGATGTTGGATTGTTCCCAAGTTAACTAGTTTTAGAGCTTCGTCAGTATTCTACACTCATTTATTCAACTTTATCCAACAATAATGTTCGGTTCAAAAATTTCCTTCATACTTGTAAGGGTGTGGAAAAACATGTAGAGTTGTACAGGGCCTTTCATTGATCTGGTTTACTACTACTATCTGTTTCAATAATACTTATTGCGTCACATTTCCTGATGGCTAGCAATATCCGTGAAACTAAAAATTATTCACACGTCAATAATAAAAAATACAAACATATATAACCCTTTTTATGGCTCTGCCGCAATGGGGTGAGAATAGAAGTATATTAAAATCAAAAAACTACTTCTTAACAGTTGTGAAGTGAATTTCTTCAGCATGGCGACAAAATTCACTGCTGTTTTTACCAAATTTTCTTCATCCATTCACAGGATTGATTTTTGCATCACAGTAGATATCTAGAAACTCGGTGAATCGACTCAATCACATTGTCGACGATAGCGATGAAGAAAAAATTGTAGTAGTTATCCTGAAACTGAAACACCCTGTACACATAACCATCAAAATCGATAAACGGTGGTAGATACGCCGATTCGTACCAGATAGATGTTCAGTAATATTTTTGGTCGAGCTAAATAAACGGGTACAACGAAAACTTAAAAAAACAATTAAACAACATTCATCAAAACAAAACCTAACCAAACTTTTGTGGGTGCACTTGGTGTGGTGTGGCCGCCTACCTCGTCAGTCACTCAAAAAACCAATGGATGTAATTCTGCAGTGCCACCAACGAGAGGCGGGAACAGGCCAGGAAGGACCTTAAAGGTTTGGAGGACACTGTCGCTAAGGAATTGCAGACTCTGCACAACTTGAGGAAGCTGTTTGTGCAAGACTTACAGGTCAGTTTTCATAGAGTCTCGGATTTTTTCTCTATTTGTCTAGTTTGAATCAACCTGCAACCAGTATTAGTACAAACTCAGTTAAACAATATACTTGGATATAAACAAAATCTAATAGTGATGCTGCCTCCATCATTCAACATATTCGAGCGAGCTCATCTGTCAATCATGTCATTCTGTATCATCGACTGAAACTGTATCAAGTCATAGCTTGCAACCTATATGAATTGTATCTTCTAGTTCCACCCTCTTCATAAATAATAGTTGGTAATTTCATTTGATCTCCAATGACAATCCAAATGTGACATCTGGTGGACAGATACATCAGTTTTCTGTACCATCAACTGAAATTGACAACGATTCACTGCTCGTATACTTCGTTAATCATATGCATCTCAAAGGTGAGTAATAGATGTACTGTATTTCAAACAGTCACCATGGATGGAGACTGATCTGTAAAGTGGTTCTGCCTCCATTATTTCTTAGATGTGAACAAGCTCAACAGTCAGAAACGGCTATTCTTCACTATACTTCACCATCAACTGTTGCAGAATTGATAACAATTTGCTGCTTTCAAATATGAGTAATATAGATATGCAATGTAGTTCAAAGAATCTGCTCGGATGGAGATGGTTTGCAAATTGAGTCTGCCTTCATTATTTGATACATATGAGTGGCTCCACCTGTCGAAAACGATTATTCTGCCGAATTCTCTACCAACTCAAAGCTTATTCAACTACTTATAAGTTCAGTGCCAAATAACTTCGAATACTTATTCGAATAATTATTTGTGGTTATGTTATGTATGTTCGCATCAAATGTAGTTCATTGGTGATATTTCTCAAATTCCTTTGAATGATTGTCCCTATTGTGGTTTTGTAGTGTTCCAGGTTATGTGATTTTCGATGTCACATCGAATAAATTCCCCTGGTAATATTTCACAAGTGCCTTTGAATGCTTTTCTCCCTGTGGTGATTTAATGGTCGATCTCACATCGATCAAAGTTCACTGGTGACTCTGTTCGCTTGAACTGCTTGTTGCTACCTGGGAAAGCTCCAGCTGCTTGGCAATCACTGTCACTTCAGGTAGTCTTGATTGCTGCTCTGTGGCAGTCTTGAAGGTTTGATTATGTACCTGCTTTCAAGGTCAAAATCCGGCTCTAAAGGACCAATATGTTCGATGCTTGATAGATAGCGGACTGTATTTGTATGGTTATGTTACTCTAGGTAGTCTTCAGTGTCGATTTGTTTTCTTCGTAAAGAACTTGGCAGTCTTGAAGGTTGGATTCAATTAGCTACCGGGTTTTATGGTCGAAATTCGGCTCGTAGGACCAATATGTTCGATGTTTGATAGATTGTGGGCTGTATTTGTATGGTTATATGATAATCACGTGAGGATTGATAAGACGCCGTCAGCAAACTTTTATATAGGGTCATAACGTTCGATTTCGCGACAATTATTTTTGTGGTTATGTTACATCATCGATATCTGGCCATTTAGGCGCGCATGAAAAAGAACATGTCGACCGAGGAGAACGAGGAAGATGGCGGCTCGTTGGCGCAGAAGCAGAAGATCTCCTTCCTCGAGAACAACCTGGACCAGCTGACCAAGGTGCACAAGCAGCTGGTGCGCGACAACGCCGATCTGCGGTGCGAGCTGCCCAAGCTGGAAAAGCGGCTGCGTGCCACCATGGAGCGCGTCAAAGCGCTGGAGACGGCCCTGAAGGAGGCCAAGGAGGGGGCGATGAGAGACCGCAAAAGGTCAGTGAACAGTAAAATATCGTTAGTCTTGACTAGTGACCGTATAAATAGAGTGACTACAATAGTTGTACACTTTTTGATTGGTCAGACCTCTAACATGCATCTACCTGTCTTGTTTTCTCCATTCAGTTCTACACTTTCTATTTCACTTCGTCAATGCTTTTTGTCTGTTCTTTGGACATAAAACATCCAACAATCAAACATGAAGCTCTATACGTCAGTACCTTGGATATTAACTATTAGGAACCGTCTTTTGGGACTCGAAGGTCTCGGATTATTCAGATGATGAAATTCAAATATCAAATATCTGATTCTAACATCAGGTGGCCACTTCGAAGGCGCAAATTCATTACTGTATGGAAGATACCCTTCAGAATTTTAGCTATTCAGTGACTTGAGCAAGTATGACATTCCGGAAATGGTAGCCATTTGAAGGTCTATTGTCGTCTCTCTATTCAATCTACTCCCTTTAGTCTTGACCATATTCTCAGGGTGAGACTTTTGGTATCCTAATGTTGGCTACAAAGAGTGTCAAAAGACGAATGTGAATAAAATCGGCACAACTTTCAAAAGTTATAAAAATTCTGTCTACTCGGAATTCGATGGATGAAAATTATAGCAAAAGAAAAAGCTCAATCGATCCTTCATTTTTCAAGATAACTATAACTGACTTTGACAAAGGTTAGGTTATCGACACATGACACTCCGCTTAACTTCCGATTAAATACATGAAAACCTGATTGTAAACAAACTTTCAATGGACTTTCTATCAGATACTTAAATATCTGCAAAAGGGCGTGTCTCTTTTTTGACTCAAGGTTAGTACAATTGATGATGATTATTTGTAGAGGAAGTGGTAAGTCGTTTCGTAATCCCATCGAAAATTTGCGATTACGTCATGAATTACTACCTACCTTCACCACGTTTTCTGATCGGGGCACCTCCCTCTACAAATAATCATCAATGGGGAAGTTTTCTATATTGAGGTTCTCATCTCACTGTGAAGTTTGTGAAAAATTAATATACAAGGTGATTCTAAAATAGGTGGTCAAACTTTGGGAGCATATAGAGTGGGTGAAATAGTTACGAAAACCTCCGTAACATTTTTGTCTGAAGTGACCCCCAAGAAAGATACAGCCCCTCAAAGGGGGGCATCGGAGAATGATTTTGTATTATTATCTCCAACACCTTGTATAATGAAAATCTGAAATTTTGTCCATCCACTCACTATTCAGTGCCGGTTCGAATGGAGTTAAAATCACCTCAAAATTAAATACAGGGGTGTGTCAAAATAGGGAGGTAGGGGGTAAAAATAACCCCAAATTTTTTGTTCATCGCAATTTCAGTTTTTTGATATGGAATTATGAAATCTCAGGGCTATATACATAAAAAAGGTGCTCTAGTTGCATCTCGATAAAATGAACTATTAGCGAATACAATTTAAAAAAGCTTGTTCTTAACAATATTTTTTATTTTAGTATTATTAATAGGATCAGACCATAATCACGAATCCTGTCGTATATTTTTAATTCATGAATTCCGACAACGAATTCAAAATTTCCAACCCCAAAAACCCTTACAAACCAATTCTGAATCGAATCGGACCATAATCACGAATCTGGTCAGCCACATTGGAGCCGCCATATTTTTTTCTATCAAAAAGTCCGTAACGCGTTGTCAACTGTCATCTGCCAGATTCCAAGATGATCAGATGATTAGAAGTAGGTAAACATTCAGTTGCAAGATTTGAACTAGATGATTAAACTTAAGTGCATACCAAAATTGCAATTTAAATGAAATCTCGGAAAAATAAATTTTATTAGCTAATGGTTCAGTTTATCGAGATTTAACAAGAGCTCCTATTCTAAGTCAATAGCCCTGAGATTTCATAATTTCATGTAAAAAAACAGAAATTGCGATGAACAAAAAAGTTGGGATTACTTTTACCCCCTACCTCCCTATTTTGACACACCCCTGTACTTAATTTTGAGGTGATTTTAACTCCATTCAAACCGGCACTGAATAGTTAAAGGATAAACAAAATTTTAGATTTTCATCATACATGGTGTTGGAGATAATAATACAAAATCATTCTCCGAGGCCCCCCTTTGAGGGTCGGTATCTTTCTTGGGGGGCACTTCAGAAAAAAATGTTACCAAGGTTTTCGTAATTATTTCACTCACTCTATATACTCACAAAGTTTGACCACCTATTTTAGAATCACCTTGTATATGTATTTTATCTTTTTTTCGTAAGATCAAATTTCACTTCAGAAAAGAATAATTAAAAGAGGAACTTGGCCCCTTCACCATTTCTATGACGTACTTTCTGAAAATACACATTCACACAGAGATAAAATACGATTCCCTGTACCACGACGTTGCCGACATCATCCATTTGCCTAGATTTCCGGAAATTGTTCTTTGAATGCATAATAACTATATCATAATAGCAATGGAATATAATAGGTTCTTCAATCCTACTTTGTCAAGTATTATTATGTGATTAATTGCGATAGTATCTATAATTTTTCACTATCGTTATATTACAATATGTAATTCATAACTTGTCAGTAATTTTTTTGCTAATGGATTCGTTCCTCAATAAAACGGATCTATTTTCGAGGAAAGTTGCAGATTATATGTTGCAACAGCGACTAATACTTCGAGTCCGTCAACACCACTCAAAATACTGACAGGCACAACAAGAGGAAGGAGCCATGTGCGTCGGCTTCATTCTGTTCTGGACTGATGGCAGTAAATTAGGAAGGATAGTATCATTGAATGTAGCCGATAGTGATTCATTGATTCAATGATATTTTCGTTTAGGATCTAGCTCTATTTGAGATATTTCAATGCATAAATAACAAAAGCATAGCCTGTCAGAATGAAGCCAACTACCTTCTGCATTCCTGTTCGGAGTGCATTTGTGGTAATGTATGCTTGTTTACCAGTTTTACTTCATCTATTTTTTTTTTTCATATTCTTCAACATCAGCTATTTTCAGACTAGATTCAGAATGTACGTCATAGTTTGCCGCCCCAACAATTAGAAAATTGCTTTAATTCAAAAATGAAAACGACTTGGACTTTATTATAATTATGTATATCTATTTTATTTGCTAACAATGTAATATCAATCTGTCCGTTTTTTTTCTAGTGTAATTAAGTGTTTTGTATATCAATCAAAGTCTTTATTTTACTCATTAAGTATGTATTTTTTAACATGTTCGTTTTTTAATAGTGATTTCAGTACCTTCTTCTTTCTCAGATGTTCGTTTGTTAACAAACATCATATCATTTGACGCCAGTTCATTTAATTGTATTTATGTATTGTAAATGTAGGAGTACACTTCTTTGAATAAAGCTATCTTTATCGGTCGCCATTCTGTACAGCGTGGACATAAAACTGGAGAGTTCCGAACTCATTTTATGAAAATTCATCTGAAGAAAACTTCCCCATTCTATATCCTTGTTTTGACTTGCCGATTCTCTCCACAGGTACCAATACGAAGTGGACAGGATCAAGGAGGCCGTTAGACAGAAGAATCTGGCGCGTCGCGGGCCGACTGCGACCATTGCGAAGCCGATCCGGGCCGGCCAGCATCACACGATCAACGTGGCGGGCAATCCGGTCATCAGGACGGGCAGGCCGAACGAGGATGCGCAGAAGCGTCGGTCGATCATTGTCGGAGACAAAGGTCAGTAGAGGTCGTACGAAGTCTGTTTGGACTCTACCATTGTCGTTTTTAACCCTTTTGCTCACCATGTCCTCAAATACAGGGTTTCTATTAATGATCGTAACATCGTAGTACATTTTTTCCATTTGCCGCTTTCTACTAATGCTGTTAACAACATTCAACGACCAAAAAGGGAGGAAGTGATCATATACAGGATCCTTTTTTATATCGTTTTGCATACACTATGGAAATGTATCTCAAAGAAAGGAAAGTCCAATATTGGAGTTTAAAAAATAATGGAACAAATCAAACATTTTTATTAAAGAAGTAATAAATAACGGTTTATATTTCATTTACCTACATCAAATGTTCAAAATGTTCTCCGTTGTTCTCCAAGCATTTCAAAACTCTTCGCCGTTTGTTGTCGAAAATGTTCCTCAGCATTTCCGGGCCAATATTTTGGCAGCAATGTGTTATTGAGGCTTGCAGCTCGTCAAGGTTATTATTGTCTCTCTTGAATACTTTGTCTTTCAAATACCCAAAAAGGCAGAAATCCAAAGGCGTCAAATCTGGAGAACGTGTTGGAAAAGAAGGATCAACTCCTCGACTTTATCACACGGTTGTCATAAAATTCTTGTAAATATTCTAAATTTGCACGTGTGCTGTGAGCAGTGGCCCCATCTTGCTGAAAATAGCCAACTCGAATTTCTTCATCATCGAGTTGATCGATGAATGGTTCTAACATCACTTGTCTGTACCTTTCACCATTGATAGTGCCATCAAAGAAAATCGGTCCATATATTCGCCTACGAGAAACTGCTAACCACGCCCCAATTTTTTGAGAATGTAGTGGAGTCCCATTGAAATTGTGGGGATTCTCAGATCTCCAAAACCTAAAATTTTGTGAGTTCACGTATCCCGACAAATAAAACCAAGGCTCATCGCTGAAAAATGTTAGTTCCAATAGCTGGTCATCGTTGAGATTATTTTGGAACCATTGGCAGTACTCCAGACGACGTGGGATGTCTATTGGCAGAAGTTGCTGTAGTACACTGGTCTTGTAAGGGTGCATATGCAATCTTTTCTTGAGCACCTTAGGGCATGTACTTAGTGGCACACCAGATTGTAAAGATAATCTCTTCAATGACGTTTGGGGATTTTGCTCAACACGCGCCCTTAGATTTTCGACAACTTCTTCCGATATTTGGGGCCTTCCTGTTGATTTCTTTTCATAAACGTTTCCAGTTTGGATGAATCTGTTGATCACTGTTCTGATGTGGGCTTTCAAAGAAAATTCTTGAATCTGTACATTAGGATATTTCGCCAGGTACTCATCCTTGCAGGCTACTACCGAGTAACTCCATCCACCATTCATGAATGTGCCATTTAGACGATAAGACATTACAATAAATGTATTCTGCTCCGAGGAATAAGCCACCCCTCTTTTCAACACGACAATCACGAAGTAGAAAACAGAATCGTTTGAAAATTGTAACGAAAAACTGACAATTGTGAGTTTATCAGCTATGACAGTATAATGATTGATGTCAGAAATTAAATTCGAATGTGTGAATCTCCATAACTGAAAGGCGGCAAATGGAGAAAATATTTCAACGGCTACTACGATGTTACGATCATTTATAGAAACCCTGTATATCAAACTTTATTAGCACAGTGCTCTTCATTACAGTTAAATCTACAATAAACTACAATAAGTCGATAAATAAAGACATAGAAATATAGAACACAGACACATGAATTACGTCACTTATTTTAAGATAAGGGTAATTTACAGATTTCTCCTTTCTCAATTGATCAATCAAAAATTTTGTTGCACAAATAACACACACGATTCTTCAAAACTATCTAGTGACACACATCAACACCAGACCTTTTGTACATAAAGTATCACAGACAATATTTCCTGAATTTAAATAGAAATCATTTGCTGCTTGTCTTCTGGTATTGTGACAATGTACATCCTGAACATAATCTAGCTCACTTGATAAATACCAGTTATCTTTCAATTTATTAACAAAAATAAGTGTATTATATGAAACTATTTGTTTGATATTCATCAATTGCAATGTGTTTAGCATTGTTGTGACTGGTGTGCGTCTTTCACAACTCAAGATCGCTCTCATTGCACGATTTTGGATTTTTTGCAGTGTATTAACCTGTTTGTTACTCAAGAAACTCAGTAAAGAACCACAATAATCAATATAAGGTTTATTTTATTGACTTGTAAATTGTTAATTTCGTGAAATTTATCACCAAGCCTGTACATGAAACCTATTTTTCGCGCAATTCTCTTTGTAATGTATTCACAATCACTGTTAAAATTCAGTTGGTTATCAATGATCACTCCCAAATACTTGAACATTTTCACTTCTTCAATGATTTCTCCGTTTATTTGAATATTGAATTTTTTTTAATTTTCCATGATCATTTTTGAATTTGCTTTCGAAGATTTTTATTTATTTATTTCAGTTATTGCATTACATTCTCTTCTTCATTGATACATTTCATACAAATAATATATAAAGTATAATTAATTTTCTAGTAGGAATAACATGAATGATCAGACAGTAATTCCTGGTATAAGATCATTCATGAAGTATTATCGACTGTTGTATAATTGAAATTACAAATAGTGAACAAAACTTACATATCATTAAGATATAATCATGAATTCCATCTTTTCTTTGTCACATTAATTTTGAGTCCATTGTCACATATCCAGATGAATATATTCTCAAGATCTACATTATCAGGGAGTCTGAACTGAGATGACATTTCTTGTCGAAAGAGTCTCATCTCGATGTATGCTATCACTAATATCAAAATTTCTCCTACCTCGATCAACGTTCGCTTTTTATGGTTCTACCCTTACCCCAGGTAGAGGATTGGTTTGTGGCAAAACAGGTCTTCTCCTCAGGTTATATCTACCCATTTTTCTTTGCCCCACGTTGGGCGCCAGATGAAGAAGAATAGGTTCTCAGCAAACTCAGATATGGATTTTATTACAACAGTCTGACAGGTTTGACAAGCAACAGAACTAAAACCAGGCGACTGTTGGTACCGAATATAATTCAATCTCACAGTTGAAAACCCAAATGGCTTTCAGTTCAACTTGTCTTGCTAACAAACTTTATAGTTTCTTAGCAACATGAAAAGTAACTATACCGCATGTATATCAAACCCAATAGATGATACTGAATGGTTATTTTGTCACAAGTCTAAAAGAAAAACCCAGTAGCTTGTCAGTGACAATTTGTTTGAAAAAATGTTTGAAGGAAAGAAATATAGATATAATGAAAAAATATCGAATTTTTCTTATCTTTGGACGTTTCGGGACCGAATCTGCTCCCGTTCTCAGCATATAAATGCAAAATATTTTTCTTCCAAAGTTTTGCTGCTTATAGTTTGACACTTTTCAGTGTCATACTGATGTTGGCATATGAATGAGTGATTTTAGTCTACAAATGAGCTACAGGATGCACATATTTGATCTCTTGACATTTTTTGATAACTGTTACCGTTTTCCCGTGGTACATCAATGAATTGAGAAAGGCGATTTCCAGCGCCTCGATGTTGTCCCTACTAGTGTGACGTCACGAAAGCGATGCTCCGGCCTGGCAAATATCGCCCTTATCAAAGACTTTGTTTAGCTCCAGAACTAAAAATATTTCAGGTAGATAGAAAATAATTGATTATTAAAAACAACAATTTTCAAGTTCTTTTTCCCACTGCAAGTTGAAACATTTCTAATGTGTGGCCTACAGGTAAATCATCTTGTATGCTTCAGAGCAAACTTGTAAGAATAAAAAAAAAATTGGAAAAATTCTCGGAACCCTTCCTCATCATGATAATGACACGATATACAGGGTAACTCACGGTCGATGGTACGTTAGACGTTTATGGAGAACGGGACATAGGATCATTCTGAAATTTTGGTTACTCACGTAGTTTCCCTTGGTCTATCGATCTAAAATATTTTCAGCTCTGCGGCGTTGCCGCTTCTATCGAAAAGTAGCAACAACTTTGTTATTTTAAATGGAACACCATGTATTTTATTGCATTTTCTGATTCTCTCTGAAGAGCTGATTTCATCGATGTATCACACTTGGGGTCTAGCGGAAATGATTACAGAGATATAGGGAGTGAAAAATCGTCATTTTTCAACTTTAGGAATTTTTTTTGTCGAAACTATTCATTATTGGTCAAAACGGTTTACATGTCCCTATCTCAACTTTTGATTAACTATCTACTGATATTTAATTGGGACATATACCGGGGGATCAAGATTCTGAATTAGGCACGACCCTGTATATGTTTCAATTAAATGTCAGTAGATAGTTGATCAAAAGTTGAGATAGGGACATGTGAGCCGTTTTGACCAATAATGAATAGTTTCGACAAAAAAATTCATAAACTTGAAAAATGTCGATTTTTCACACCCTATATCTCTGTAATCATTTCCGCTAGACCCCAAGTGTGATACATCGATGGAATCAGCTCTTCAGAGAGAATCTGAAAATGCAATAAAATACAGGGTGTTTCATTTAAAATAACAAAGTTGTTGCTACTTTTCGATAGAAGCGGCAACGCTGCAGAGCTGAAAATATTTTAGATCGATAGACCAAGAGCAACTACGTGAGTAACCAAAATTTCAGAATGATCCTATGTGCCGTTCTCCATAAACGTCTAACGTACCATCGACCGTGAGTTACCCTGTATATTCTCGCCCATTATCGACTTTTGAACAAAGCCCCTATCGTGATATTTCGATGTTTTTTCCAGATTGAGCTGTCATCCGTCGTTGTACCAGGTGCTTAAGAAAAAAAAATGTAGTGAGCAACTTTGAAAACCGTAATACCAAAAATATTGCCGATACATCTATCTTGAGACGGTGGGAGGGGAACACGAAAGTCTCTCACGCGAATCTCCTTTCGTGTGGCCCCCCCATCCGTACGTCTATGTGCTTACAGCTTAATTATTTATATAGAATAAGATGCACTCGAGCGAAAGAGAAAGAGAGTTGAAAACGAGTTCATTTTCGAAAGTGATAGAGATCGAGAGCGAGTTTGTTTGTTTTATGTGATATTCGTTCCACTTTTGCCTGTATATCGACAACTATTCACTCGAAGGTTCGCTTGTATTTTTCGTTATTCACACCGATTCTCCTATTTTGTGGCGAAAAATCTGCTGAAGATATCGCGAAGTAAAGTAACAAAAATGATATCGCAAAAACATGATCGCCTCCAGTGAACCGAACATTTTCTTTTGTACTTACGTATTTTCGTATGAAAAACACGGATTTCACAATGACAATGTGAACAAACGGCTATCTATTGAGATATTTCACGAGGAAATGCGAAATTTCACAATGTTTTGCCCACCATCTTGGATATCCATTTACAACTTGTGTCCTTCTTTTGCCAGCATTGGACACTTTATACACTCACGTTGTACTTCAATAACACATTTCATTTACTGATATCAACATAGAAGTATGGTTTATTAGGATTTCTGTCTCTTTTCAGTAACAATTTCTCCAGATCAGGTAATTAATTTTCTTCAAGAATAAATACTTGGTTATGTATGTCACAATGGCCTGAAGCCGTGTCATCAGTGTTCAAAAGATTCGAGCGTATGTACTCCTCTTATCCAGCAAAACCGTTGCTGATCCGGGATGGTTACCGGCGTAGAGATCACGTTTGACTTCACGTATGGCCCCCTTATCCGATGAATCCGTCATCATCCGGCCTCTATACGGGCGTAGAGATAAAAGAGCCTGATATTTCTCACACACATTTTTTAAACTTCACACTTAATATTGGATTTCAATCCAGATCAGGTAATTAGGAAATTTTGGACTTGCACACACATTAACCTGACTTTTAGCCTGGAGAAGCCATGTTTCTTCTATCGTGGCCAAAATTCGAATCCAAATAAAGGTCAAATGTCAAAAAAATGTGCAAGAAACTCGAGAAACCAAACTATTGTTAACCTCACTAAATATGAAAAAAATGTGCTATTGAAGTACAGCGTGAGTATATAAAGTGTCCAGTCATGGAAAAAGAAGGACAAGAATATGAATATCCTAAATGGGTGGCAAAACATGGTGAAATTTCGCACTTTTTCATAAAATATCTCGATAAATAGCGGTTTGTTCACATTTTCTTTGTGAAATTCGTGTTTTCCAGACGAAAATACGTGAGTACCAGAAAGAATTTTCGAAAAAAAAACCATCGCATGATAAGTGCAGTTTTACCTAAACTAGTACAGGGTGTTTCAGAATTGATGTGACGAGAGCCTGAATATGGAAGAAACGTCGTTTCCTAATTAGAAGGTGTTGTTTTTCAAATACTAATTTATTTCTTCAAAATAACTATTTTATTGATGGCTGAAGAATGCATTAGCCAGTTTTAATGAAGGTTGTTTTTGTACATAAAAAATATCATCCTGTAGTTTTTCGCGGTTTTTTTCTTGTCTCTTCCTTCTTGATGAAAAATCATGATACCATACCTCGACAAGTCTGAATTCCATGAGGAAAAAATAAGATCCAAGAATTTGTGTGTGCTAATTCATGAAAACAAAAACATCAAACAGAGTAGGGCAGAAATACATTTTCTAAATCAATTAAATAGTAAAACGAAACGAGACACATTTTGGAAGTCTTTTTTTTTCAATATTCCCTGTTATAAACATAGTTGTCAATTGTTCTTTGGGAATAATAAAGATGATGATGATGATGAAAATAAAAGAAGTCAGGACATTAAAATGTGTTACTTTTAGTGGATTCATATCTATAATGGGTAAAAACCGCAAAAGCAACAGGGTGACATATTTTTTTTTTGTAAAAAAGCTCGCTTGCTGGACAAGTCCCTGGAAAATCTGATTCAAATTAACCCATTTAAGGCCGAAATATGGAAAATATCACCAAAATGACATATTTATGACATGTTGCGTATACGCAACATCAACTTGAACTGGTAGTCCTTTTTTAATTAAATCATTTTATTCGTGATAGATTCTGAAAGGATATTTGTGTAGATGTATTTTACATTCATCACATTTTTGAGAATTGGTGGGAAGCTAGTACCTATACCAAATTGCTCATTAATTGACGAAACAATTTTTGTTCACTTCCGGTTTCACTGGAAACGACCCCAACTTTTGATTTTTAAATGGGACACCCCTTTATTGTAATGTATTCCATAATCGGTTAGGGATTGTCATAACGAATTCATGGATATCGGGTTTGATAGGTTTATTTCAAACGATTACGCAGATATTCGCGTTTCAAGTTTCCATATGCTCAATGAGTGTGACAGAGAAAGAAGTTTTGATATTACGAAGTCATGTTTTCCGCGATAGTAATATACGGAAGTTCAAACAAACTGAAACGCTAATAATTGATGGCATGCAATCCGCAGCGGCCAAATGGACTCAAAAGGGTTCCGAAAAACCGAAGGAAATTGAAGAAGACTTCCGTGTTGTCAAATTGCATGCCTCTGTGAAGAATTGCAATTGCAAAAATCACCTATTTTGGCAACATTCTTCATGCATGCCAAATTACCTTCTATTAATTAATTGAACAAATGAAGAATCTTTCTAATGGCATGCAGTCACGCAGTATCATGGATAACCTGTATTGAATTTCTACAGTTTTTCCAAAATTTTCCAACGTTGGTCAGACGAGGGGCGCCAGCTAATTTTTTCGGAGTGTTTTTGCTTCTAAAACGTCAACTGAAAACACGGAAGTCTCATTTAAGCTTCTTCATTTGAGCCTTTCGGGCCGCTGCGGATTGCATGGCAAAAATTATTAGCGAAATTCTTCACAAAAAGAAATGTGCTTTTCCTTATGGAGTGCACACGTGGCCAGGAACCCATCTATTTTTCATATTTTAGGGTTAATGGAAATAACTATGAAGAAAATGAATAATTATTATTATCGTGTTCTATAGGTGGAAGATCTAGAATTTATTGAAAATTCGAAAATGTAGGATTGATAAAATAGTTTGTAAGGTTTTGCATATACACAATATTGGCCACTAATGGGTTAAACTGGTCCTGTAGATGTTTGAAAATTATTCAAATGGATCGTGAAAATTCAGTTGAAACTGGCTGAAGCCACCTTACTATTTTTTAAATATTCGCACCCTGTACTTTGTTATGTTAAGGTTCATGATTTTGGTGGTAGTTTATTTCGCGGTGTTTTTCGGCGATATTTCGCAACACACAACTCGTCTATGTTGATTTGTTAGGTAATTTTTATAGTTTTATTTTCCTATGATGGTACTAAGTAGTGAGGTGTTTGATTTTCTTCTTTTAATAGACCAATTCTTAGAGAAACTTTTTTATAATGGTTTTTGCGAAATTCGAAGATTATCTATATTTTTTTGTTTTTTCCTTGTAACTTGAAGGCTTTATTACATTTTTCCGTATTTTTCATATATTTTTTCTGCATACAAGTTTGGAGTGCTAGCTTGACTGGGGCAAGTTTTTCGAGTTACTCCAAAAAAAAACTAATCTATAAAGTTCGGCGAAATGTAGTTTCCAAATAATGTTCTACAAATAAGTGAATAATCAATTTTGTGATATTTCGATTGTCATTCAAATTTTACACTAGTGCGTAATAGTTATACTCTCAGCCCTTTATCACAAAACAATAGAATTAATCTTGAATAATATAAGTCGTTATGAAATAATGCGATCCAAGAGATGAAAAATAGACTCATTTTGTTCATACAGATTGTCCAAAATTTTATATGACAAACTTCACAGACATGTAGAAGAGTTGATTTTGAGTTTGAAAAGTACCTTTAGACCTAAACTCATTCACTTATCTCCCTCCCTAAAAAAGTTATAGTATATATCTCAAATTTCATAGGTGTTTCAGGTAGACGAAAATCTGAAATTATCAGTATAGATGATTATACTAGATTTCTGTTTCATGCCAGTGAAAAAAAATTTAGGTAGTCAAGAGCGAAAAAGTAACACCCTGTATTTTATTCATGAATAAAGCAGAAGATTTTGAAGTCACAGTACACAACACGTCTAAGAAATTTGAGAATATACCACAACTTTCAAACGATAGAACAATTTCAGATTCAATGCCCTTTATTTCTTTCTTAGGAAGCGGTTATCGGAACTTTTTTATCCCGAAATCAAACTAAGTTTGCCATATAAAAACTGAGACGCCTTGAATTGAAAAAAACTATTTTTCGCCGTCTAACGTGTTGCATTTTCATTTTGAAGTAAAAGGGGGGATTTCATCCTTCCAGTTTCGCGAATCTTGCACTTGAGAAAAACTCAATTTATTGTGATGAATGTACTGAGCATAGTTTTTTTTTCATTATCCAACCTCTCCCGTTATCTAGAGCTGGCATTTTGAATACGATTATTGTGATCTGGTGCACATTTTTCATTGGATCTTCATGCCCAGTTGTGAATTTTGTTTTGTAAAATGTTCGGCGTAGTAATATCAATTACATATTTGATAGTGGACGCTTGAGTCATGTTGCAATTTATTTATTTAACTGATGGAAATTATATTCTAATAAACTAATTTAAACTGGAATGTGTTTTTTTCTAATTATTACACCTTCACTAATGATTAGACCCCCTTAAGAGGAAAACTTGTACGCGCCCATGGAATCACAATTTCAAATCTTTATCGAAATGATTCCGAATTTTCAAATTTCGACAAATTGGGTAAGTACGCCACTGGCCCCCTTAGGAGGAAAACTGGTACGCCCCTCAACATTCGACAAATTGGGTAAGTGCGCCACTGGAGTCGAATTTGCGGCTATTTTTATCATCGCATCATTTCGGAATTTGATCTCAAAAAATTCCGGAATAGTCCTCCCCACTCTACAATAGTATATTGTGCAACAGGTGGGAGAAGTGCTTTTCCCCACATGTTGCACACTATACTTTTTCTACAACTGCACTTATTCAAAGAATCCGAGGAATGTAGCTTATTGGTATTCATTTTATAATGTGGCACTATGCCACATTGAATACTTGCCTATTGGACCCCCTAAGAAGAAAAAATGGTAGGCTTCAGAAATACATTCTTATTGGTTTAAATATCATTCTGGAATTAAGAATGTTGGAAATATAGTTCCATCGATTCATGGAGTATCAGTCATAAAAACTTGATCACCCTGTATATACGTTCTTGAGGTAAATATTTTCATCTATCTCTGAGGAATTTCGAATACTCGTCAACCATCTTTAGTAAGAGGAACCAGCTTATGCAAAACAGACTGTTTCGGCTTTCGAAGCCTCATCAGTTGCTCTAGGTCAGCTAAGAAATTTTAGGAGAGGAATTTCCTGATTCGATTGTCAGCGGATGCAATACCGACTGTTTAGGCTTTCCATGCCTCATCAGTTGCACTCGGTCAGTTGACAATCGGTTGAAGAAGGAAACTTCAATGTATGCTACAAAGCAGAGCTCAAATGGGGAAGAAGGCCGAAAAATGATTTCAAGAGATTATATTATTTCCTATTATTTCGATTACAAAGTTGAAAGCAATACAAAAACTGATCAAAAAGTTAAAAAACTTCAATTGTTACGAATACCGAGGGCCTGTTCAAGTTCAGCCCGTTTCTGCTGTACTTTGGTGTAGAAATATCTGCACACTGCTTCTTGGGCCCACGGCTGATAGAAGAAGTCCGATCTTCTCTCTTCTTCTGGATTCCCGACCACGTCAGTCATAGCCTAAAAAAACAGAAAAAAAACATGTCATCCATTTCAAGTTAGAAAAAGAAATGTTTGGTATTACCTTGAGATCTCTGGTTTGAGAAACGATCCATTTATGGATGAACTGTTGTGGATCCTTGGCAAAGCTGAGGAAAAATTCCCTGTTTGTCTTGAGCTGGTTGATGGTGTCAACGGTTTCGTGAATTTTCGAGTCCAGACCTTGAATTTCCTGCTGACTGGCTGTACTCAGCAGGAAATTGTTCATCTGAGTTTTCAAAGTGTCATCAACCTAAAAGAAAGACCAGAAATGCGTATCCATCAATATTCCCTGGAGTTTCTCAAGAATCTCTGGAAATGTTTGAAAACTCTTGATTTCGTTGAAGAGTTCCAGGAATTCCTCAATAAAATACAGTGAAATTTATCGAAATTTCCCGGTATCCCTGGAAATCTTGAAAAACTGAAAATCCTTGAAATTTTCTAGAGGTTGTTGAGAAATCCTAGAATTCTTCAATATTTCATTGAAAACATTAAAATTCCCTGGGTTCTCTAAATTCTGCAATTCCCTAAAATTTCTGGATTATCTTAACAAGCCCCTAAATTCTTCAACAGTTCCTATGTCACCACACAATTTTGAAAGTTCTCTGGATTTTCTAAAAACCTTGGAATTCATACCTACCTATCCAGAAATTCTTATACTTTCTCTGGAATTCATCAACTTTTTCTTGAATTCCTCAATATGCGTCTAATTAAATAACAATTGATTGTGGTCACCTCAACAATCTTCCCAGGAAACTCTCTCTGAAATTTTTTAATATCGCGATAAACTTCATATCAATTAACAGATACGGCTAATCAATAATAATTGAATATCGGACAATCACCAAGCCCTTCATTGGAAACTCTTAAGATACTCTCTATTTTTTTTTCCTGAAATTCCTAAAAATTCTTGGATTTTCTTAACAAACCCTGGAATTTTTCAACATTTCTAGGAGAACTTCAATATTCTCTGGAATCCGATAACATCCCCTGGAATTTCTTGATATATCTACCTTCAAATTCATCAACTTTCTCTGGGATTTCTCAATATCGCGATTAACTTCATATCAAGTAACTGATACTGCTCATCAATAATAATTGAATACCAGACAAACAAGCCCATCATTGGAAACCAATAAGATTCCCTGTTTTTGTTTTATCACCAAAATTTCCTCAAAATTCTTGGATTTCCTTAAAACCCTTGGAATTCTCCAACATTTTCCTGAAAGTCATCAACTTTTCCTGGAACTCCAACTACTTTTAAAAATTTCCCAATATTGTCAAGAAGTACAAATGCCTATGAATTAACATTACTCAAACTCTCTTTCATTTCAAAATCTTTCATCATAAATTAACTTTTCCAAATTAAAACATGCAGTACATTGTAGTTTCGATCAGCACAAAAAATTAGCACAAAAAAACGCTTACCGCACGATAATACCTAGGTAAGCAGTATCGAAAGGTAACGGCCATTCCCATTGCGGAAAATTGCGAATCTAGCAACGATTCATCACCACCAATCATTATATACAGGGTGTAAATTTGAAAACTTTCAATGCGAATATCTCGCGAAATAAAAAAGTTAGAAAAACGCCGCTTGGCAAAAATGCTAAAGAGTTAAGGGGAACTAGAACCACCATATTTCAGTGAAGGGATGAGTCACCCTGTCAGCGCAACACACCCCAACTTTGAAATGTCAAATGGCACTACCTCTTTTGTGATACCTCAAATGAACGGTCTCAGTCAGTAGTATTCACCTGTACAAGACTTTTTTTCCACCCACTACAGGGTGAACGGAAAACATAAAGTCGAATGAAATAAAATGCAGAATGCCGATATATTCCAAGAGATGTGTTCCAAAATTTTAGAATGGCATTTGAACTTCGATTATACTATTGCTTACAACAGAATGGAATGCATTTTGAACATCTGATCAAATAAAATATCCTTATAACACCATTCATTTCATTTTATTCGACTTTATATTTTTCGTACACCCTGTAGTGGGTGGAAAAGAAGTCTTGTACAGGTGAATACTACTGACTGAGACTGTTAATTTGAGGCATCACAAAAAAGGTAGTGCCATTTGACATTTCAAAGTTGGGGTGTGTCGCGCCGACGGGGTGACTCATACCTTGACCGAAATATGGTGGTTCTAGTTCCCCTTAACTCTTTAGCATTTTTGCCAAACGGCGTTTCTCTAACTTTTTTCTTTCGCGAGATATTCGCATTGGAATTTTTCAAATTTACACCCTGTATATCACACTCATTCATCGATTGCTGACTTCCAAAGTGGCACTATGCCACTTTGGGGGTGTGACATCTCCTCGACTTTGGTGCTGCTGCCCACCGAGAAATCAGTATACCGCGGTTGTCACATCTATTCCGTATCTGCATTTCTCCTAATCACTGTGATTAGCAGATTGACTTTTATCAGTTTAACGTGGCTCAACGCGAAAAACCGTGAAGCACGGCAACAGGTGCGAATTAATTTTTGTGGCGATCTACAGGTGCCTAGCGCCGACCCGTGGCCAATAGATAACGAAAGGTAAATAGGTCACTGCTAACCCATATCGACACTCATAGGTTTCTGGATCATGGGATCATGGCTACGAAGAACCTGTTTGGAATTCTGTAGGAGCAATAATTATAGTTTCGTTGGTGGTTACAAAATATTCCTGGAGATCGCGCAATATGTTTGACAGTATTATTAACTCCGGCTAGTCTATAAGTTACGTTAATATCTTCTTTTCACTAATACAGAGTGAACAAAAATATTATGCCAAATTTATCATTACACAATGTGAGTACCAAGAACCATCATCTTGTTTTTGTCGTTCGCTTGTTTTATATTTGTTCTTTGCTGTTCCGTCCTTTTGGCGCATTTTTATGTTTTCGTGATTGAATAAATTGTTTGTTGTACTTTTGAAAAACATTTCTCTTTATTTCGGAATGAATGTGGTTGGGTGATGAAATATTGAAAATCCTCTTGGGAAACAGCCAAGCCATCAGTACTCTTGAGTTGATAGATAGAAGTTTATGCGATGTCTGAGTTGCGACACGTGGTGGAAACGCCGTTTGTTAATGCCATATAACCTACCAGAACCATCTTGAGTTGCGACAATATTCGTGAATTCCATAGTATTCTTAAAGTTCCCTGTAATTTATTAAAGTTAGAAGAAGAAGAAGAAGTCTTTATTGAACCACGGAAAATTACATTTTCATAGAGGTCCTTACACCTATACCTATACCTAGAGTTTCTCAACAAACCCTGGGTGTTTTCAACATTTCAAAGAAAATTTCGACATTTTCTGCAATCCCTCAACATTCCCTGGAATCCCTCAATATACCTACCCTGGAATCTCTTAGATTTTTTAAAATTGTGATAATAAATTGTGATCAATAGTTGAAAAACGGACAACTACCAAGCCCTTTACTTTGACCTACCTCAACATCAATATCATAGCAAGCTGTCTGCTTGCTTTCAGCACCACCTTCCACAGAAATCACGTGATTGATGACGATCGGATCCGGGGGATGCAAGAGAGGGTTCAAACGTTGCGGAATCTCGGCGAACTTCATGCGAGTACAGTTGAAAATCTGCTCCAGATATTTGTCACATACTATATATTCACGTTCATGGGCATCTTGCAACCTAAAAAAATACATAACCTTCTTTTTCAAGCAGTATACTAGCTGTGATAGAACGTTGGTATTGATGGAATCAATAGTGATTACAAGAATGATGGAAATAAGTATGGTGTACTCACCGATGCGCTTTTGTTTCAGAAATTCTTCTCGACCTCCCGAGAGTCCCGAGAACAATGTTTTTAGCGGTTTTCGGATAGATGGCGGCATTGCACAATCATGAGATCTGTCAATTTTTAAATTGCCGCAGATTTTTGGAATGCAGAGTTAAATGAACCCACTGTTACAATGTTCCGTGTACCTGAAATGCCATTTGCCATTTTTTTTCCACTCGTCACAAGAGCAATCATCTAGCGGAAAAATGTAGAATCAACGTCTGGCTCGTAGGCGGTCGAGTGAGTTTTCTTAAATTTTCAATGTGTAAAAATGGCCGAATACGCGCACATCATCTACTTATTTCCATCATTATTACAAGGAAACTATGAAGCTCAATTTACTTTCATCAACCTTTGGAAGACCAAGGAATTTATTGGTATGTCAGGATTTCCTTTGAATTACAAATAATTTACTGGCATTTCCAGAAATTAATAAGAATTTTCATAGTAATTCCTCAAAATTCCAAGGGATATTCATACAGGAATCCTAGGAGCATCTCATGGAAATTCATTTTGAATCAGAATCCAATGTAATAAGGAAACTATGAAGCTTATGAATTCATTTTCACCAACCTTTGAAAGACCAAGGAATTGATTGGTGTTTCAAGGAATCCCTTTGCATTCCAAATAACTTACTGGCATTTCCAAAAACTCATTGAAATTGAAATAACAAGAAAATGTATTAGGATTTTTAGAAATCCAATTGAAATTCCATGTATTCCTCAGATGGTTTTCTAAAAAATTTAGTTATAGACCGGGAGCCAGCAACGTGTTATTTTTTTGTTTCATTTGTCCTCACTCAGCAGTATAAGAACCCCCAAAATTCCATCTTCCACTGCACGGATATGAGCTTGCCGAATAAAAATATACCGATACACGCTCGGCAATGCCGTCCGCTCAAAAAAAATGTCTTCCCCATTATTTGTCCTTGTCTTCAGTGTTCCAGCGCAAAATAATGGAAATTTTATGTTGGTAACATTGAAAATGGGATACAATGGAGAAGAAGATCATATTAACCTCAATATAAATACATTTTCATTATTTTACGTTAGAACACTGAAGACATGGACAGATGAGGAAAACAATTTTATCTCTCTCAACGCTAGCTGAACTGCTAAGTAATGATTCGGGACCCCGGGATTTTTTATACAACTTCACTCACTCATAGCCAACTTTTGAATTTTCGATGATTTTAAATAACACACCTAGAGCGCGCGTTTTCAGTTATTCGAGTTTTTGATGAAAATGATGAGGTTTTTCGAAAAATTACTGGACTAAGAAAAGTTTAAGAATTGAATTGCCCACACAACAAAGCAAATATTTTTGAAATCCATCGAGGGTTAACAAAATTCTGTTGAATATTAATGGTGCACCACCCGGTATACCCCCTTTACAAATTTCAATTAAGCTCTAGTTACTGTCAAGTAACGCCCTAAATACATCCACAGAGTGTACCAACTTAAGTTGCTTTAAGTTCAAGAATAACGGAGATATTGATTTTTTTCAAAATTTATAACTTCACTTTCAAAGCCTATAACTCCTTAGGGAAGCAACTTGGTATAGAGGTAAGTTGCGTTAAATTGCCATATTTTGAGATCTCCTACATGCCCCTGCTCTATGTCGGTTCTTATGTGAATCACCCTGTATATTAATTTTTTACAAACTTCACAGTGAGATAAAAACCCCAATATAGAAAACTTCCCCATTATTTTATGTAGACTCCCACCATCTTCCACGGTCCACTTTCACCACCCACCCCAAAACAATCAACTCCTTACTTGTGCGTCTTTATGTACTGCCACAAAGCAGATATGATGACCGGCCTCGTTTGCGTATGTACCCCCAAAAGTCTCGCCAGCCTCGGGTCCAACTTGAACTGCAGCGGCTGATAGTCCAGCAACAGCAAGATGGTGCATCGCACGTTCTTATCACCGGGTCGCTTCACCTGGAAATTTACAGTTTTTGAATTGACGTTACTTGATGGAAATCTATTCGCGGGAATCAATGTTACCAGGTGGCGCTCGGTTTTCATCGTTCCATGTCAAAGCCACGTCAAAACTGGAGGAAAACAAACTCAATCCCCACTCAATCCCATTAGTGCAATCAGTTTGTGTACTGGGTACTGATAAGAGTGATAATTTTTTAAATTTCTTGACATTAATTGTCAATATTCGATCGAAAACACTAATAATGCCTGTTGTAGATGTTCTTTTGGCAGATATTTTGCTCTATTTAGATGGAAAAAGCCGACCAGTAGTGGAAGGAGAAGCAGTTCTCCGTGCTAATCATGTGACTTTGTGTGAGGCAGAAGACTTCAACAAAAGGCACATTTTTGTACTTTGTCTACAAACTTGTTGTAGCTGTTCTTTTATGTCAATTGATTTGCTCGTCATAATTAGTTTGAATCGTTTGAACTATCTCCAATTCTTCACCCGTTCACTGTTCACTAAACTCATAAAAATGTAATAATGTAAAAATATTAACCAACTCAACCATCTTCACTACCAACACTGTCAATAACACTTTATGACATTGACAAGTTTGACTACAGCTACAGCAAGCTGAATGCAATGTAGTCTATGCACTTTATCCATAGACAACATATATCGAAGACTGAAACCTTTGGCACGATAATACACTACACTGTTTTACCACTAACCAAACCGATTTTTTAACGCCTCGACACGTGTTTCGCTAACTATGTTAGCATCTTCAGTGTGACACACTTGAAAAGAAATATACGAAATAAGTTGTAATGATTGTGATAAAACATATATAGGCCAAACCAGGCGACCCATAAAAACAAGGTTCAAAGAACACATAGCCCATTTAAAATATGGCAGGTTAGATAAATCTTGTGTAGCCGAACATATGTTCAATCACAATCATAACACACATATTACTTACCTCAAATTAGTTAAGCAAGTTAATAACATTAGAAAACTAGACGCATATGAAAGCTTAGAGATATTTAAGAATAGTAATAGAGTAATGAATAAGGATATAATGGACCTATTCCATATAGCCCTCTATATAGTTTAGTAAAATAAAAATTAAGATTAACATGTGAACTCAACCATGACAAACATTAACTTGACGGTTAGTATTTTTCACAGTTGGGTGAACATATACCTAGTATATAAGCAGCACACTAGAATAGGATATTTAGTTTTAATCTTCTCCTGAAGATGCTAACATAGTTAGCAAAACACGTGTCGAGGCGTTAAAAAATCGGTTTGGTTAGTGGTAAAACAGTGTAGTGCATAGACAACAGTTTGTTTTCCCCCAGTTTGAAGTTCGTATTATGTAACCTAGATGTCGCCCACTTCGTGAATCTCGCGAATAGCAAATGTAAAAACTTCACAAACGATAAGATTTCCACGAAATTCTTAATCACACGACATTTTTCGCTATCATAGTAGCTTCATCAGGTGAACTACTGGTGCAATGAAATAAACTTACCTTGGCTTGCCTAAACACAATATCCTTGAATTATTTTGATCTCATTTTATTTCATGAAAATGTCAAGTGAAAAAAATGTTCCCAACCCTACCTGGAAGCCGTCCGTTTCCTGGGTGGTATGGGTTCTGTGCCACTCCACCAAGTGGTTATCGGGACCGTAAAGGTCCTTGTCCAGCTCGATCACCAAGGATTTGAAGAACGAGGAGAATTTGCGTTTCACCTTGTTGGGGTCGTTTTTGGAATCGTCCAGTAGGCGGCCTTCCACTCTCAATTCCCATGATGCCACCGAACTGAAAGTACGATTGGTGTATGATGTTAACACATTGACGGACGTGACTGCAATTGCAGACACATACAGGGTGTAAATTTGAAAACTTTCAATGCGTATATCTCGCGAAATAAAAAAGTTAGAAAAACGCCGCTTGGCACAAATGCTAAGTGTTAGGAAGAACTAGAACCACCATATTCCAGTGAAGGGATGAGTCACTTTGTCAGCGCAACACACCCCAACTTTGAAATGTCAAATGGCACTACCTCTTTTGTGATACCTCAAATGAACGGTCTCAGTCAGTAGTATTCACCTGTACAAGACTTTTTTTCCACCCACTACAGGGTGTACGAAAAACATTAAGTCGAGGGTCTAAATTTGAAAACGTTCAATGCGAATATCTCGCTAAATAAAAAAGTTGGGAAAACGCCGTTTGGCACAAATGCTACAGAGTTAGGGGGAACTAGAACCACCATACTTCAGTAAAGAGATGAGTCACCCCGTCGGCGCGACACACTCCATCTTTGAAATGTCAAATGGCACTACCTCTTTTGTGATACCTCAAATGAACGGTCTCAGTCAGTAGTATTCACCTGTACAAAACTTATTTTCCATCCACTACAGGGTGAACGGAAAACATAAAGTCGAATAAAATAAAATGCAGAATGCCGATATATTCCAAGAGATGTGTTCCAAAATGTTAGAATGGCATTTGAACATCGATTATACTATTGCTTACAACAGAATGGAATGCATTTTGAACATCTGATCAAATAAAATATCCTTTTAACACAATTCATTTTATTTTATTCGACTTTATATTTTTCGTACACCATGTAGTGGGTGGAAAAAAAAGTCTTGTACAGGTGAATACTACTGACTGAGACTGTTAATTTGAGGCATCACAAAAGAGGTAGTGCCATTTGACATTTCAAAGTTGGGGTGAGTCGCGCCGACGGGGTGACTCATCCCTTGACCGAAATATGGTGGTTCTAGTTCCCATTAACTCTTTAGCATTTTTGCCAAACGGCGTTTTTCTAACTTTTTTCTTTCGCGAGATATTCGCATTGGAAGTTTTCAAATTTACACCCTGTATGTAGGGACAGGACTGCAATTGCAGTCGATTTTTGTACCACACGAAAGCACACGTCTGGTGTTGCAGTCACAACGCCCATAAGGAATACATGAAAGGCGACACCGAGTGTCCCTCTATGTCGACTTAGTTTTCAGGAAAGTGACACATAATGGTCGATATCTTTTTTTGAAAACACTGTATTTTCACCACCACCCTCCTAACCTGGAGCGTCCCGTCTGCAAAAGCAGTCAGTCGCCTCAAAACATTTCGTTTGCTGTGTGTATGAAATAATTTTTTGTCTGAGCACGTTTTACTTGTTTTATAAGACAATTTTGGACAGAACGGTAAGTACAATTAGTCATTTACTCACAACCAAAACAAAAATGAACATTCTTACTTTTCGAGAAGCCGTCATAAAGGACCTCCTTGGAATGGGCTATCACAAAAAATTTGTATTTCATAATTCGATAGAAATCACCCAAACTAGCCTACCACCGCAAACCTTTTCTTGCTGTGAGCTCCCTACGTTTTATAAAAAATTATTGAAATCCCCGATTTTTCGGACCTCTGAAAACGGGGCGATGATGTGACGTCAAAACCATAATACTGAAATAAGACTATTCCAGACAGAGATGAATGATACATGATTTCTGACAGAGTGAATTAGCGCGAGATCACAGTTGAAAGAATCAATATATCAGTTGCCTCAGTCTCCGTCGGGAGTTTGGTATTTTTTTTAACTATGGCGATATGAGGTTTCTACGTCATAAGAGGGTCGGTTTTCAGAAGGTACTATTATTTATGTCCAAAAATAAAACATTCCAGTTAATTTTTCGATCGAATAATTATGCCGTCAATCATTATTTATGTATAAAAGGATCATTATAAACATGGTTTGAGTTAAAAGTTCTAGTAAGGTGTACACGCCCATTGTGCCTGATATGAAAGATGGACGAGAACTTGTCAAAGGTGGGTCAATGAATTATCCTAAAGCAAGTTCAGAAACAACACTTCCTGGACCTCAACTTGGTTTGCAACATTTTTTGGAAAACATTCCATTGCCTTCCGGTTACAACAGAAAAAGTTACTTTTTGAGATGTCGCCAGTGTTCAAAAAATGGTAAAAGAGGACAGACATCATGGCGCTGTTCTGGATGCGATGATAAGCCACCCCTATGTTCTGAGACATGTGTCGCAAGTTTCCACCTATAGATGTTTTTCGTATTATTTTGTCTGGAAATATGATATTTTTACGTTGTTTTGTTGTCGTTTTTTTTACTTTTTTTAGAGAATTTCCCTGCGTTTGTTTTTTGAAATATTCGTTAAATAAAGTTCATGAATAAGGAAGTTATTTCTTTATTTAGAAAACATTCTTTACTATTATACATGTCTGCAATAGCAGTTGTGTATCCCTATACAAATCAAAAATTTGTGTATGGGGACATGTCTGTAATGGCAGACACCTGTTTTTTCTGACGAAAAAATACAGGATCACTTGTCTAAATGCTAAATGAAAGTACTTATTCTTGCCATAGAACATATTTACCATGAAAAAAATAAGTGGCGTTTTGGGTAGATTATAAATGAACTAAGCAATGACCCTTTAATTTTATCGGTGGCATACAGCCGGTACGATTTGTTGGTGATGAAAAAATACTCGTTCATTGCTGTTTCTACCATACTGCACTTTTATTGCAGTGATACATTGTAGTTTGTATAGAATTATAGATTTATGTGAATCAATATTACATCAATGAGTTTACGGCATTGGTGAATCAGTGAGTTTTTTTCCATTTCTCATAGATCACTGAAACAGTACTGGTGGAGCGATGATTGAACAATACTGGGTATGACATATTTGTTGAAACACATTGTTTATGACTAAACCAGAAGTTTCTTCTATCGACACATCTGTGAATTTTTCCTGTTCTACACAGTGGCCAATGTTGATTTTTTTAGCTATCATATTTTTTTAAATATGGCGCAGTCAGCAGCTGAGATGATCTCATCAATGCATCACACTTGGGGTCTAGCCAGAATGATCCTAGAGAATTTTTTTATGTGGAAACTATTCATTATTGGTCAAAACGGCTTTAATGACATGTGACTGTCTTCTGATGTACTATCTACTGACATTTAATTGGAACAGATACAGAATGATCAGAATTCTGAATCTTGAACCACCCTGTATTTGTTCCAATTAAATGTCAGTAGATAGTGAATCAAAAGTTATGATAGGGCAATTTTGAAAAATAACAAATAGTTTTTACACAAAAAAATCCTGAAGTTGAAAAATGTCGATTTTGAACACCCCTATATATCTGTAATCATTCCCACTAGACCCCAAGTGTGATACATTGATTAAATCAGCTTTTCAGAGAAAATCTGAAAATGCCATGATCTACAAGGTGATCCATGTGAAAAAACTGCTGATTGTGCCATATTTAAAACAAAATGATAGATAGGTACCAGAATTCATCATTGGCCACTCTGTGGAATAGAAAAAATTATAGAAGTCTTGATAGAGAAGTTCTTCTAGTTGAGTCAGAAATAAGCTGTTTGCACACATATTCCCAACCTTGTATTTATTGAAGGACCATTAACCTATCAGATGCATTTCCTTGAAAACATTTTTTCAACTATGGGCCAGTGATATATTTGTATAGTTCTTTCAAGATGTGAAGTGTACAAGTACATCATTTATTCAAATCAATTAGAACTATTGAAATAATTAGTATTAACCACATTAACTAAGTACTTGGACATTTTTGTGGAATTAGGTGGTCAAATTATTATGGTGGTTCACCCCTCAATATTAGAATGTTGTTGAATCTTCTAGAACTGATAGGAATCCATTAAAATACCTTGCCATTTTCTTTTGAACTGTTTAAAAAGCCTTGCAATCCCTTGTCATATCTTTCAACACATAGGTGATCAACTTCTCAATCACAGCTAACCTTCAGTTAACTGTGGAATAAATATTCCTTCAAAATTCCCTGGAATATTCTGCAATACTTTGGAAGCATTAGGAATTCTTTGGAGTCATTTAGAATTTTTTGAATATTTTAAATTATTTTGTATCATTAGAGAGTCCTTTGTAATCTACTCCAAATGCTGGGTATTTGTTAGAATTCCTGAGAATCAATAATAATTGTGATTTTTAGGAATTCCAGAATTCCTGTGAAATCAGGTAGGTGGTAAAAATTCTGATGGTTGGTTCACCCTTCACTTACCTTAAATGATTTTTTTCACCTATTTAAATTGTTTATCAATTATTTGGAATTTGTGAACATGAACCTGTGGAATTCAGTGAAAATGTTTCATATGACTAGGATTTTCTTGGAAAAGGAGATGGATGGATGAAAAACTAAATGTAATCACATACAATTGAGAAATAAAATGCAACTATCATAAAATTTATTATATTTATATCTTTTATCTCAGTAGGAACTCACCCTTCTTGGCATGGACCCTCTGGTCCATCAGGCTGGGGCTCCTTAGCAGGATAAAATGTATTGGAAATGAAAATCCTCAACTTCCTTTTCTGCTTCATAGGTCTTTTCAAGGCCTCCTGGATGTCTAGTCTCTTCCTCATTATGGTAGAATCTAGTTTCCTCTCAAAAGCCAACAAATCCATGTAGGCTTGACTCTCTGGTACCAAATCCCTTACTTTCTGAGGCAGAATTTTATCTGCAAGCTTCTTTTTCTTCTTGCTACTTCCACTACTTGATGTATGACTATAATCACTGGGTATACCAAAATATGATTTCAGGAGGACATAGTTTCAACAAGATAAAAATTCATTTCCCAAGGTTCAACAATTTGTTTTATATATATAGAAGGGACTATAATTATTACCTGATGATCAACATTAAACTGAAAATTATACATTTCATCATAGGGGTAGGAACATTCACTCTGTGTTTAGAATATTCCAAAGTAATCCAAACCACAATTATTATTTGAAGACTGAACACTCACAATTATACAATAATCTCATTTAGAAAAAACAGAAGTTGTACTCACGGCTTCTGCTGGATACTACCCCTGTTATCAGCAGGTCTTTTACCAACTGGTTGTGGTGGTAGTGGACCACCTCTCATAGGGGAATAAGGGGGCCCAGCAGGTCTTTGGATCATAGTTCCCCCACTTGATGGCATATTTGGAGGAGGTGGGTTATAGGGTGCCCTTTGCTGAAATGCTCCCCATTGAAGAGAAGTTTGTGTAGAAACTTGGTGTACTTACCGGAAAGTTTGGTGAGTTTTGGTTGTATGGGCGCATTCCTTGATTTTGGGGTTGCTGGTACCTCTGTGGAGGCGGCCCGCCAGGTCCCTGGGTAGGACCAGGCCCAGGAAATCGTTGGGCCATTGAAAAATGCCGTTCACAAAAATATAATTCACAAGAAATACACTAAACACAGACCACTTTGTATAATTTTGTAAATTGAGTGAAGTTAGGTTATAACAAATGACAATTGACACGTGACAAACACAGTCCAGTTTTTTCTTCTTCTTCTCATTTTTGACCCTTTCGGTAGTAGTCCAACAAATCGAAACAGTAGAGGACGCTGTATTTTGTAAGAAAATGGCGGAACACGCGGTAAATTTTGCTTCGATTTTCGAAAGTTATTGTGCTCTTTATACCATTATTCGAGCCGTGTTACTCGATATCATTCGTTGTAATGAAATATTAGTTGGATTGAAGTGGATATTATTGTTAGGTAATTTTAAATCATCCTTTGATATTTTTTGTCTAGTGAACGCGCGTGTTTTGCGTAGTGAACTTTTATTCCTAAAGACATTCAGTGGACTCGCCTTATCAGACTAACAGAATATTACAAACCTTTATTTCCAGGATTTCAGATCCTGAGGTAACACAAACTCAACCCAATGTCTCATTTAATTCAATAATTTTCTTTTTTTTTCTGATGTATCAGATATAGGTATGAACTTGTTGTTCTTTCAGAAAAGAATAAAATATTATAATATGCATAAATAACATGTTGATATATCTATAATGATCACATTCTAGAACACATGATTTTGATATAATAACAGTTCCATGGAACAAAATTATGGAATTCTTTCAGGTTCCAACTCATATTCCAAGAAAAACGTTCCCACTCATTCTGGTTTCATATGACAAATTTTGACAAAATACAATATATGTTTGCCCCTCAGCAACCTGTCAAATGACGTAATTCTGGAATGATTAATAATTGGTTCTGAGAAAGATATAAAAGGACCTGCAATAGTTTCTCCATGAGTTTCACAGGTATTTAAGCAATAATAGCATGTGATCATGTTTTAGGACGTTTTGGGCGGACACTTTTCATTGTAAACCAAGGCTTATTACTCAAAAATTACATAGGTTGGAATAGTTGAAATGAAATTGTTGATTTCATTAGGAACCATCATTTAATTGGTCCTCCACATAAGTATTATAAATCTTTACAGAGTAATCAGAACTACAACTAGCTAATTGTAAAATATTTTTGCCACACTCTGATGACTGTTCAGACATACCCTGTACAGGTCTAAATGCCAACTTCCGCACTGTCAAATGATGTGCACAACTGAAAAAAAAGAAAATTATGAGGTAATGAAACTGAAAATATATATATATAAATTTACCTTTTAGACAAACTTGATAGTTTTTGCCACTTATTTGGACACCATCCATAAAAATGAATGTCTCCAGAATCGAATCCTACAGCAATTAAGTACCGTCCGGATACCAAGCATGGAGAAAAAGCCAGAGCTGTAACAGACTCTCCTGGAAGTTCCAAATATTCTCCCACTACCTCACATTCTCCCAAAACTGTAGTCCTCTCTTTTCCTTTATTTATCCACCAAACAACAACTTTTCCATCTCTAGAACCTGAAGAAAAACATATCTCATTAAATAATTCCTGCTTTTACCTATACTCTTATCACCTGTTGCAAAATATTTGGAATCATGTGACCAGCAACAGGTCCAAATTATTCTCGAGTGGACTGCTGTCTTTTTATCAGTGGTAGCTACAAGTTCAAATTCCCCATTTTCAGTTTTGCTGAACAAAGACCACCTTCTGTCTCTTGAAACAGAAAGAAGATGGTTGGAATCAGGTGAAAATTGTAGCTGAACAACTGTGAGGGTGTGAGACATGAGTTTCTGTATTTGTTTCCAATTTGATGTGTCCCTTGAAAAAAACAATAAGCAAAAATTTCTATAAAAAAGTTATAATGATTGTCCAATACCAAAGTAAAATAGCTGCATGTTCTGGTTTTGTGGACCTACAAGCAGATGCCAAAAATTTCCCATCAGGAGAAGCAGCCAAACTATAAACTTCATAACCGTGACCATACAATTTCTGTGTTTCCGGCCATAGAGTATTTTGTAACAGAGTTTCTTCAGTAGGTGGCTCTGCAAAGACAAATGTGGCCTTGAAACCACTGGAAAGGGAAAATACAGAGTATACAGGACAAACCTATCATATCAGTAGCTTGAAAATGAGATTCCTCTGGGTATGGATTTTTTTTATCCATGGAAGTGGCTTGGTCAATGTTATCATCAGTATAAACGGCTTTATTTGACAAGCCTAATGAAGGCACTGAAGCTCCTTTTGGACCAAAATGACTTGCTAACAAACAATCCTCAGATAAGTACTGACCATTTTGATCATAATTTTGTTACTCACTGTTGGTTATACTAAATCCTTCTCCATGATTATCTAGCCCACATATTCTCTCAAAATTTTCAACAAAATTTTTAGGTGCCTCAAATATCCTTATGACTTTTTCTTCTGCTGCAGAAACGAACTTATATTTTGAAATAACAGCAAGACAGCTCATATCATAACCATGCACTTGAGGTCTAGCAATTTCATGCCAAGTTGTCTACAGAAAAGGCAATTCTTCAGAAACCAATACAAGATGTTTTCAAAATTTGTGTCATATACCTACTTCTTTGTCATCTTTTTTCCATGGGGCATGTATTCTGGTTGTTTGATCTGTGCTGACAGTCAAGAGATATTCTCCTTTTGGTTCCCAAGACAAATCAACAACTTCAGAAAAGTGACCCCCCACTGTGACACAAGGGGACCATCCTTCCTGTCCCTTGGTGTCTTGCCAGATATGAAAGGCTCCGTGATAGCTGTGAGCTAGAATCCTGTCTCCACTTGGGGAGAAAATGCCTCCATAAAATCCTAGAGTATTACCTAGACACAATGTCAGTGTGACATTTTTTAATCAAGTCAACATAATTTCAATTGTACTTCATTTGTAGTACTGACATTGCAATGTGATGTGATGATATTTCACTGTATCTGAATTTAAAATTCCGTTTTTATCATTACACAGAGATATGCTCTGAGAATGGCGCTGGGCTGTAACTTCTGAATCATTGGAGATGAGAATTTGAAATTTGGTAGATAGCAAGTATACCTCAGAGTATACCAAATTGCTCATTTATTGACTAAAACATATTTGTTGTATCACTTCCGGTTGAACCGGAAGTAATCCCATCGTTTATCGATTTTTAAATAGGACACCCTGTATAACAAAATTTCGGGTTGCTTTGGGTTAAAGCAGAAGTGATATAATAAATATTTTTTGTCAATAAGAGGCAATTTCATATACTTTCTACCCAAAGAATCTCAGATTACAACCTTGAATGATTCAGAATTTACAGCACTGTTTTCGAAATTGTATTTTATCAACAGAATATTTATTTTATCACTTCTGGTTCACCTGAAAGCACTCCCAACTTTTGTTTTTTAGATAGGACAACCTGTATATTCTGTTATTCTGATCAGAAAAGTCCCTAATGTATAAAAAGCTATCCCCTGAATCCAAAAAGAGAAATATATACAGGTTGTCCTATTTGCAAATCAGAAGTTGGAGGAATTCCTGGTTCAATTGGGAGTGAAAAAACAAATATTTTCTTTTCAATAATTGATCAATTTGGTATACTTGCTAGCTACCAGATAAATCAAACTTTTCAAAAAAATTAATTGCCATTAATGTGGAATGAAGAATGTTATTACCCCCAACTTCTCCAACTCTGATTTTTTCAAGCCATAGTCCAGAACATTCATCAAACTCCCAGATAATCATAGATTTATCAATAGATGCAGACAAAATTTGTAAGTTTTTTGGGTTCCAATTCACAGAGTAAATCCATCCTTCATGTCCTGTCAAAATGGACTCTAGAAGCACATTGTATGTTTGCCATTTGGATTCAATCTGAGATTTTTCAGTAGTTTCAAAAACAGTTTCCCTAATTGATGGTTTAGCAGTTATTCTCCAGAGACGTATGGAGTTATCCTGTGAGCTTGACACAAGCAACAGGTCATCTCCTGTGGAATAATGAGAAAATTGAGTGAGAAGCTCTCTTAACATAACCTCCTGTATTTTTTACCATCCTGGGTAAAATCTAATCCACGAACCCAGTCTTCATGGCCTGCTAGAAGGCAACTAGGTTCAAATTCTAGGTCATGATGATTTTTTTCAATATACAATTGTATTTTTGAATTCTCAAATGAGCATGCTAATATCAGCTCATTGCTGTTGGGTAAAAATGCAAGTTTTGCCCCCAGTCCTATGGAATAGCCCAAATTGATTGTCTGGCTACAGCTGAAACTATCTGAAAACAATTTTGTAGAGAAAAACTCATGCATATGTTTGTGATTTTACCTAGAGGAAGTTTTCTGAACCAAACTCTGATACTGCAGTCCATTGAAATACTAACAAGTACTGTTTCATTTCTATCACTTTGCTTGTACAAACCATCTACTAGATTGACATTGGAGCTGTGTCCTTCCAGTGTCACTCCTTTGTAGATATCTCCTTCCAGAGACCATACACATATAGTACAATCAGTGGATCCAGATATGAGCTCAATTTCATTGATTATGTTCAATCCTGTCAACCATTTGACTGAATTAACACGTTTGGAATGTCCTATCAGGGTATCAATGACTTTACCTCCACTTCCATACTGAATTTCCAAAGAAAAAGAAATTAATAATCACAATAAGTTCTATTCAATCTCAAAATCATATTACACACATAAATACGAAAAAGTCCTTGTTGGTGTTGTTTTCTCACTGAAATGTAGGGATTTTTTGTAGAAGTAGATACTTACATCAGGATTATAGATTAATACTGAATTACATGACCCATAACATATCAGATTGTTCTTGCCCCAATGTGCTATGGTGGGTGTTTGGTTACAATTACTGGATATATAACAGTTCTCAATTTTCATTTCAGATTATTTGAGTTCCCAATTTCCTTTCACATGGAAGATATTATCCTATAATATCCCTATCAATAAAATCCAATGTTTTGATTTTTTGAACTGCAAACTGCACCTAACCTTTAAATTTCACGTTCACGTTATTTCAGCTGGTTTCTTCTTCCTCTCATCTTTTCAGAATATGAGTTCGAGAACACAGTTCCTTGACGCACAGAAGTACCCAATCTTAAGGAAATGGAAAAAGAAGAAAAAAGAAACACGCACATGTCACCTGTCGACATATATGTCAATTGTCAACCGTTGTGAGAATCAAAACAAAACTCAACACCTGTTGCATGTAGTATTTTATAGTTTTATGTTTTTAATTTCAATGTTGTTAACCTTTAGCCTCATCGTAAATGATAAGGACAAAATACATTTTATTATCCACACTTAACATAAAATTCCGCGAGTGTCAGCCAATATGGTGCTATCGAAACCATTGATAGAGGCCTTGAGCTTTTATTTCGGGCAACTTTATGAACATCCCTTGAGAACTAAAGCCATTACATGGTATGTATGCTGGGTTTGTGTAATTCAGAAGATAATGGTAGTTTTATTATTTCTTGTTTTCAGTTTTGCCATCGCCACAGCAGGTAACTACACCTCCCAAAAAATAGCTGGAAGCAAAGTACTCAACTATCAGAGTCTTTTTGCTTATGGGTTGTATGGGTAAGTGAAATCCGAAGGTGAATTAAATCTTCAATTTATGTTTCCGTTTTTTCTTTTTCAGTTTATTTCTTGGTGGAACAATACCCCACTATTTTTACAATTACCTAGAAAGGGCAGTTCCAGAAGATGGATCTATTGCCTTAGCTAAGAAACTTTTCCTTGAAAGGCTAATTTATTCACCATTGTACCAGGCATTTACCCTATACACTATTGCTAGACTTGAAGGAAAAAACCATGAGACAGCTGTGAAACAATTGAAGGATTTGTATTGGGTAGTGCTGACTAGTAGTTGGAAGTACTTGACTGTCATCCACCTGTTGAATCTTAGTCTTGTGCCACCAATGGTTAGAACTCACTTTATATCTACTAAAAAAACTGAAATGATCCTACTAACTCAAATTGATGGTTGAAATATGGTGTTCCTAATGAAATTGAGTGGTAGTTGCATTTTGGATCAAAACTGATGATATGAAACTACCTATAGGTAGCACTGATGGATAAAAAAATCCTCATTATAGTTTGAGGGTCATCATTTGTTCCAATATCACTGATGCATTAGTGATTATAGTAGATGAAACCTACTATAACTAAACTCATACAGTCTCAATTTCTTGTGTTCTGTGCTTCCTATGAAAGGAGTGTTTCCAATATTTTCATTCAATTTCCAACTGGCTCAAAATACCCTGAAATTCGGATAAAAAATGCATCATTGTATTTTTTGACATTTGCAGTTCAGACTATAGAAATCTTCATAAATATTCAGTCTCTTTTATCCTTGCTTTTATCAGAAAGGCTCATTATAATAAGTACCTATAGATATTTTATTATAATCTAAAAACTGATATAATATAGTGATAGGATAGCCACATTAATAAATAGGTGTATTTAATTCCTATATATTGGGCTAGACACAATTCAGTTTTTGCATAATGGTCATATGACCATGAACATGATGACCTCTATTTTTCTCTAAACATTTCAAACTCAAAAATGGCCAGTATTTTATAGAATATTTACAATTTGATACATGATCTCATAGTGTTGTCCATGATATATGTCCATTTGGACTTCTGTTTCAGGATAGTTATAATTGGATCATAGTTTCCTATCATAAAATCATCATTGCCTATATCTTTGGTTTTAATGAATCATAATCGAACTTATATTATTGTAAGTTTGATTGGTTTATCATGGAAATGAAAACTAAATTGTTGATTTTCTAGATAGGAATTGAGTATGTTTTGATTCCAAAAACCCCTAAGTACATCTATAAGTATAGCCGGTATATTGCTATAATATAATCCCTAACAACACGAGTACATCCTAGGGACTTCCCAAGGACGTCCCTAATTTCGAATAAGGACATCCCAGGGATATCTTTTCTGGGACAAAGTACATACTAGGGACGTCCCAGGGACATCCGCTTTCAGACAAAAAGGACATCCAAGGGATGTCCCTCCTGGTACGTCCCTGGGATGTACCGAGTACAAAGAAGGGATATCCCTAGGACGTCCCAAGGATATCCCAGGGACATCCCTTCGACAAAAGAAGAAAAAAAGTAGGTCTAGTTGGGATTGAACCCGGGACCTTCAGCTTATCAGGCACGCACCTTACTCCATTGGCCAATATGCCTTCTGAAGATTCATGTATTGAACAGATTTATAAACAGGACAACTACAGAAACCTGGATAAATAAAACTGTTAGGATTCGGGTATAATTATTATCATTCTTGGGTGTTTGAAAATGAGGGGCATTATGCATTTACGATCTCTGTTTGCGAAAAATGGTCATTTCTTGAGAAGTTTTGAGACTATATTCTTTATTTTCATCACAATTATTTTCCGGAAGAAATACATTTTCGAAAAAATGCGACTCAATATTTTGATGATATTGAATGACTCTCTGATGTGAAGAATGGATATCAGATATTCCAGGGACACGAATGGGATAACCTAGGGATGTACCGGGTGGGATGTCCACTGGACAACTACTGGCGGGACATCCCCTGGATGTCCCAATCATTTCCTTGTACCGCGGGACATAAAAGGGACGCACCTAGGACATCCCTGTGTTGTTAGGGATGTAGTGTGGTGTAATAATTATTACGTTTTGATGTCATCATTTGTGTACCAATTGATCTGGCAACGTTGGTTGGTTGTTTTCACAGAACTCTGTCGTTGATTGATATATGACATAATTATGATTCAGTTCTTTGAGTTCTGTGGTTGTTTCGCGCTAGAGCCAATAGATGGTGCTTTAGTGCTGCTTTCACAATCCATTAATTGAACATCATTTCAATTCAATGATCCATACTTCCTCACTTTCAGTAGTCGTAGCTTCCACACACATGTTCAAATTTAGGTCTCAAAATAATAATTCCTCACTACTAACATTAATATTATATGAATACCATGTTTTGTAGCCATATATCTTTATCGAAATGCACCGTATTATTTTGAGATATGCAGCCAAAGCTCCAAAACACTATGCTTTTACTAATCTTTCTGAGATTATCATACTTAGCTGATATTGTTTTTTGTCATTTCAATTTGCTGGTGAGAAGAATAAAGACAACTAGAAGACATGGTGAGTCTACTGAATATACTTTTTTTTTAGTTGCGTGTATTCATAACAAACCTAATGGGATTCTTCTGGACCATTTATGTAGCCAACAAACGACGTCAGCAACAAGCCAAAAGCAAGCCAGAGTAGGAATCAAATGATTGATTTTTATTTTTGTCAAGAGTTTTCTAGTTATAGTGGAAATTAAATTGTGGGTGATATATTCAGATTCAACAATAATGATGTTGACTCTGTTTTGATGCAATAATATATATTTTGTTGTATATAATGATATGATACCTATGTTTGTGGGTTAATGTGCAGTGGTATATATATACTGGGTAGCCCATCGAAACGTGTTCAACCCAAGTTTTCTCCGTTGTAATAAGTTAATTGTGTTGCAATCAATGATAAATCGCTCGCGGACAGGGTGAGTCATAACTATTCGGGAAATTCAACTGCTCAATTCTGAAAGGTACGACGAGAATGCGTTCTGGGGAGCTTTTTATTTTTATGATGTCTGATGAAGAATGAACATTATGGTAATATCGAAGGACATGACCTAGAGAATCCGCCTGCTCATAATTTCCAAGTATAGGTACTCACCCAATCTAGTTTCACGAGTAGTTTATAATCAGAGCTTCTCAATTTTCTCTCAATAATCATTCTGGAAGTAATACAAGTGAGTTTTTTTTCAACAATAGAACCGAGAAATATTTCTAGTTAAACATAACAATCGATTCAATCGGTAATGAATTGGTCTATTTCATTCAAATTTTTTAATCACAATCACAAAACGCCTCATCAAAGAAAGTTATCTGTCGATATCATCTTCAGTATAATCATTCACGCCCCGTGTAAAAAACTGCGTATAGAATAATAAATACAATTAGGTAATATGCTCTGTATGAAATTTTGCCTCTGTGCCGACTTTGATAAAAAATGATGAATATATACATTGACATTTTGAGCATAAATCCAAAAAAAAACAACTTTATCGCCCGCCTCTATCTTTTTCCACAGCAATATTTTATTGAAGATAAATAATCCACCCCCAGCCTATATGTCCCAATAGTTATGATTCACCCTGTATAGACCATATTATTGAGGAAACGTTTTCGATGGACCACCCAGTATTTTATTGTTTGATCCGATTGTGGTACTGATATATTTATAGTTACCTAGGTGTAGGTATTCGTCTATGATTGTAGGGATGCATGGATTCCTTTTTTATCAACATGTTATATTATTTTCCAATATTTTTATTGTTTGAAAAATTAAGTAAGATTATGTATTTTTTCATTCGAAATACATTTCTACAAGATATATATTTTTGTTTCATTTTCCACCATCTACTATATTATATTATCCTTCTTCTTCCCGGGTGGGGTACAAATGTACCCCAGATTTCGTTTTAGTTGCATATTGTCCCAGAAAGCGCATATTTATTTCAACCAATTTTATTTTTTGTCATTAAGGGCTTTGCAAATAATTACTGCTCGTCAAACCAGATTTTTGTTTTACTTTTTTTATGATAAAAATTCTTCAATAGCTTGGGGTACAAATGTACCCCACGTGGGTCCGCGCCCACTGTTCCAAGACGCGACCTTGGTAGTCATTTGTATGTAGAGAGATGGAGAAACTCTAAATCGGCCCGCGTTTGACGGGCGATCGTATTTATACGTGATTTATCAAAAATGACGAAATAAGGTCTCGATAACGCGGAGTTAGAACGACTCCTATATGCAGATTCCGACAATGAAATTGAAGAATCTGACATATATTATTGTCTGCATATGAGGATAGTGACAGGGAACCAGAAACAACTAGGGAAGTGTCTGATCTTATACAATGCGAAGATGAAGTTCGTCAAGGAACATATGTGGGCAGGAAGAGACCGGAAGTGTAGCGGAAGAAGGTGATGTCGGAAATGTATAATATTAATCTAAAGATGGCACTGAATGGTCGAGAATGCCGTATCCTCAGACACGTAGAGGTGCTGAAAATATAATCAAAATCTAGACAATTCTGCAAGGAGTGTCAAAACTTAGTATGATGCGCAGAAGACCATGTGAAAGAAGTGAAGTGTATCAAATGCAAAGACGATTGAGTGAATATTTCATCTCATGGGAAGACGAAGTTTATTATATTTATAGTTACCTATATGTTTTGGTTTTCACTACCAAATTGTTGTGACCTCTGTCGATCAAAATGCGGAAACCGAATAATTTTCAACAAACTCGGAAATACGCCTATACCTAATCTAGAAAAACATAAGGTACCCGACCCAATACATACCCGGAAAAAACAAAAACAAAAATTAATGGGTGCAAGAACTATACCAGATCATTTGTGCCTTCAGTGAAAAAAAAGTAATAACCATCGCTTCATATGATCAAACAACTGTACATCGGACCAAACAATGGCCAATTATTCACATTGGAATGTTATTCCAGTAGACTACCTCTACCATTATCTATCAGTAGCATCGGTTGATGCATATCATTGAGGTGGATCATCAATCAAAAGAAAATAAATTATGTAGGTTGGGCTTCCATCTTGATCATAATAAACAAACCAATAACAATCAGCTAGCAAAAACTTTATGATCGATAAGAAAAATAAGATACATATAAATATATGATATATGGTGTGCAAACTTTCAATTTGTGGATATGATTATTTAGAAATCAGGCACATATTCTCAGAAATCATATGGTTCGAAAAACATTGAATAATAATAATGGCATCATTACATGATATTATAAAGGTATATAAATCGATAAAGCTTCAAAACATGCATATTTTCTTTCAAAACGATAATTTTTATCATCAGCAATGTTTTATAGGTATGTATGTATGAACCTATAGTTACTTTATAATTATCATTTTCAATGGCAAGCATAGTTTCATCACCTATATTAGTTCTTCAAACAAAGGCAACTTCGTATGAGGGGTTATATATCTATATATATTATTATTTACAAAATCTGACTAGATACAATATATTTACAAACTTATTTGATATGGTACACCTATACTTTTAAATTCTTAGAAATGTTTTCAAAATATTCCTACTTATATAAAAATAAGATATAGGTACAAAAAATTTCCTAATCATAGAAAGTTAGATTTTTGAAAGAACGATTCACCGAGTCACTCATATACAGGGTGCTAATGAATTTTAGTTTGACAATCAAGGAGATATATATTCCTTATTGTCACATTCTGTAAAAAAACAATATGAAAAAACTAATGCAAGCTTGCTGTAGTAAGAATAAATCAAATGATTTTTGCCCCAAAATATCACTTCTGCGGAAACTAAGACAAAAATGTAATCGAAAGTCAATGCATATATTCCATCTCCAAATATTTTTGAAACTAGATGATGTGTCTGGCTTCATCGATAAAATTTTTCTATCCAATAAAAATATCAAAAAAGTGGAGTACAATCATGTTTGCACCATAAAAATCTATGAGAACCTAATACGATGTCACTGAAATCATTATTTGGAATCTATAATTGCATTAGTACTCTCCCTGTATAACTCGGCGCAAACACAATGCAATTTCTGTGCTATTTATAACACGGTTAATCATTATTAATTGAAATATGCACTATCACTTCCTGCGATTTATGAAACTTATTATAATAATTGTTGAAGCATAATCTCAAAGATCCTTGGAAAAACCACAAAAATCTAGGTCTAATTACGCCTTCATGTATTCATGGAAAAACGTTACAAGTGAGAAATTAGTCTTGAATGAATGTTCGTTTCCCTATAGATAAATCGCAGAAGTCAATCCATCTTATTGTAACTCCAAAAATGTTTCGATAGTTCCATTTTATTATTTTGAAAACGCCTAGACTGTAGAGTAAGCAAAAACCGACTATACCGGGCGATAGCACCATTTAGGACAGCAACAGCTCTAACCCTCATATCAAACGATCTACTAGAAAATCACCCACCAGTTTGGTTCTTCAAATTGCACCCTCATTTTATAGTCAAAATTATAGAAAGAAGTAAATGCTGTTGCAGTTACACCCATGAGTTATTGCTTGAGAAATCAAAGCTACACACAAATGCTGCACATTTAGCAAGATCTTGCAGAAATTATAGCCTGGGGAATCAACAACCTAGTTGAATTCAACGCCACCAAACCTCATGCCTGGTATTTTCTCTATAAATGGTGCCCGTTTTTCGAACTCCACCATGGGGATCTGAGTTATTGTATAAGAGATACGAGCTCTGTTAAATTATGGCAAAGTTGCTAATTTTTATGTTGAACATTTATCTGTAAGAAAATTCGATGTGTCATTTTCAGTTTTTGAATTATTTGGAGGAAGGAGAACTTTTAATTTTCCTCTTTATTTTTTCAAGCGGAAACCAAGAGACCTAGACGTTTATTCTGACTGGGGCATTCCTAAGGCACCTTTTCACAAGGGATCTGAGTCTGTCATTGTATTTTTCATGACGTTCTTGAAGCTAAAATTACAACACTCAACTTTGTTTTTTTCTGATGGGCGCCATATTGGATTTTTGCATTTTGAAAAGCCTTTCTTTTCTGATTACAATGATGTATCCCACGATATGATCGAACCTTTTCTGTTGATCAAAATTAGGAAAAAAACATTTTTGCGAAGACTGCTCTGGAAGAAACGCCAACAGTTTTGTTTAACAAACTGAATTTTGACAGTTCAATTGAATATGTGAACAAAACTGTTGAATTCTTAAGCTTATCCACATAACGCAAGAAGGGTTGCCGAGTGTCTGTCAGATATGTTCCCTGACAAGTTAATTTCCAACAACGCGGAGACATATACGTTGGCCAACGCGGTCACCAGATCTCTCTCCGCTGGATAATTATTTATTGGGAACTATGAAAGACTTGATTTTCAAAACTGTACCGATCGATATTGATAAGCTGAGAAGAACCATGATCACCACTTTCAGGACTAAGATAAGAAGATGGGACATCTCGCGAGCAATTCAGAATCTGAGTAAACGCGTGGTATTGGATTAAGAAGTGGAAGGTGGAGTATACGAGCATCTTTTATAACTTTGTTTTGATTTGTTTTCCGAAGAATAAATTTCTAGCTCATTACATCTTTCCTGATTCACTATACCATAGTTTTTAAGTTGATTAGCTTGACGAAAAATGTGAATGTTCCAGATCCAAATTCAAATGAACTGTCGAAATTCATGCGTTCTCTCTAAAGCACTTTTCGCAAAATTGGTTTTGTCCCAATTTTGATCAACAGGAAAGATTCGATTGTATCGTGTGATACACATCATTGTGATCAGAAAAAAAAAGACTTTTCAAAATGCAACAATCCGATATGGCGCCCATTCCAAAAAACAAAGTTGAGTGTTGTAACATCGGCAGCAAGAAGGCCATGGGAAAACGATGACAGATTTAGATTCCTTGTAAAACAGAATGTCTTAGTCAAAAACGTCTGGGTCTTTTGGTTTTCACATGAAAAAATAAAAACGAAAATTACAAATTTTCGTTCCTCTCTAATGATTTGAAAACTAAAAATGACACATCGAATTTCGAATTTTCTTGCAGATAAATGTTCAGCATGAGAATGAGCAAATTTGCGCTAATTCAACCGACCTCGTATCTTTTATAATAACTAAGATCCCCATGGTGAAGCTCGAAAAACGGACACCCTGTATGCTAGGTTCGTCTGTCACTCGGACCCAAATGTGCAGCTCACGAAGGTCTACGTCTGTACCAAAAATCAATTCTCTGCTTTCGAAATTGACTGAAATACAGGGGCGTCTTCATCTTAAGTGTGCCACACTGTAGAAATTAAAAATCGGTAGTGTGACTTTTGGTGGATTTCTAAGACTTCGAATCGAAGTTTTGGTGAAAGCGCCTATCATATTTATAGGCTTTGATGGTTACCTCATAGTCTGATTCTATTGAAGCGTATAAGCAAAGCACCATCAAAGACCTATTGTGACATTTCCTCGTAGTGACAGCCGAAGAGGCTTTACCTATACTCCTTTGCGTGCACATTGATCGATCACCCGAATCGATTATTAAAAAGCCGAGGAGATTTGATTCCGCAAAATCACTAATCTTACAAATCCATATCATCGAGATAAATACCATCTATTACTTTTTTTTATCCTCTGGAGCGCATGAAAGGAAATTCCTATAATGTTCGAAGAACATTGTGCTTGCCTTGAGAGGATAGGGAGAGGAGGTATACCAGGTGTCCCAAGTTATCGTATACAGGCAATTTCTCGATTATTTGACAAGATAATTAAAAAATTCAAAAACTGCATTGAATAGCATTGAAGTACCTTCCTCAT